TTTGATAAATAAGGATAATACACAGACAGTGGATGCAGTCCTTAAAATATCATATTTTATCAAGTAGCAAATTATTTGAGGAAATGTTTATATCATATATGCCTTGCAAAAAAAAATGCAAAGCTAGATTCAGCAAAATTTCAACTAATGATCCCAAATGCTAATATAATTTTGGATTGATTTTACTTATTTATATTTTCTTACTATAATTACGAGAGCTATGTTACTTTCCTGCAGACGAAATGAGTACCCTTTTTTAAAATAGAATAATCTGTTTTCCATGCTTTTAAAATACAACTATAATGACCATGTTACATTTCTAAAGTGAAAAACACTGCACTTGTCCTCTAAAATAAATGAAGCAGGAAAGCGGCCATGAATTTGCCATGATTGTCACCGGGGATTCGTTTTGCTTAATTTTAGCTTTGGAAGTTGGTAATGATTTTTGGGTGTCCTCCAAAGTCCCTTGTAATAAAGTCATGTTCCCCAGGATCTGGTGTTAATGATCAAAGACGGAATGTCACTGAAATCTGGTATCCGAAGGTGGGTCCTAGAAGGTGGTTAGGATCCATGTTAGCAAAATTACGTTGCTTGATTTGTGTTTATCAGAAATGTGATTTTGTGATTTGTTTCTGAAAGTTGCCTTCATGTGTTGCACAAACCCTGAGGTGCTTCTAAGGAATATCCTGTTGGTGGGACACTCACAGTCTCCCTTTGAAACCCAGCTGTGCATCCCCCAGGCTCCCAAGCCACTGCCCTGTCTCCTGCTTGCGAAAGATGCACTCATTTAATTCTGCATCCGGCAGCATTCCCTCATATTCAGAAGCAAATGTAGATACATTGCTGTTTTGTCCCCATTACTGTGTTGAAGATGATGCGGTTTAAAAAGGTATCAACGGCCCTTCTCCACTGTACCAGATAACGACCCCCAGCTCAAAATTGAATCCAGGTCTCCCACTGTGGGTGACAGGGGCTATGACTGGGTGCCCTCCGGGGTGCAGAAGGGGGCTGGATTGGAAGCAGGGCAGATGGGACTCAGACCAACGCTCCAAGATGGGATATGGGCATTCCAAGCAGTGACTTAATTCCACTGAGCCCCGGTGTGCACTCCGAAAGTACATTCCTTTGTTTGCAATAATCGTGCCCCATAAAAACTTTAGGAGAAGTTACTCATAACTTCCTCTGAGTGATTCCTTAATAAATCATCCAGAATACAATATTTATATTTGGTCAATAAAACCCCAAGCAGCTAAAAATATCTCGAGTGGCACAATTAAGAGGGATCTTGAGTTCTAGAAGAATCTTGAGTTCTAGAAGGTCTAGAAGATATTTCATCAAGAGGCTCCCAAAGAAAAGTTGACCTTTTCCTATCCAACTTTAATGATCAGAGAAGAAAAGAGTAACCCTTACATGGACACTCAGAGAACATTGAGCAGAATTCAAAATATCCAGAGAAGGGCTACACAGAACGATGTGACCAGTTAGTGAATTCAGTAGCAAAAACAGAGAAGGTGGCATGGGTCCTCTTGGTTAGCTTCTCTGGGGAAAAAAAAAAAATGAGAATAACTCAAGAAGTCCTCAGATGCCCCAAGCTCAGTGAGCTGTGAAATACGATAAAGAGCTTTGGTTGAGGAGTCGTGCCAAGTGGCACCCCGGCTGCCCAATCGTGGAGCACAGGGAAGGTTGCAACACGGAAGATAACGTTTTATCAATCAGCGTTATTGAGCGATTCGGAGATTATCACTTTTGGCTGCCCCTTCAGAAGACCATAAATTAATCCCTAGGAGATAAACCAACATATGTAATCAAATTAACTTTGAACTAAACAACACGTGTAGGAAAAAAAATAGGAACAGCAGTTGGACAATTGTTGATTGCAAAGTGCATGACACAGATATTAATTTCATTTCACAGGTTTCTTGTTAATTTTCGAAAAATGTTGTAAGGAAAGGGAATAGGGTGTTTTCATGCTTATTCCAGACTATTGTGTGTAAAAGATATCTGTTCTTAACTTCTGAAAAAGACTTTCTGGTTGGCATTCATGATTCCATTAAATCTCTGTATAAGCAAAGGCAAAGAAAAACAGTTTATATTTAAATGCCCAAAGCCAATTTTGTTCCATCACTGTCTGATTTTTCCTTAGAAATTTTTCTACAAAAAGCTGGAGATTTCTAAAAATTTAGGTTGACCAGAACAAATACAAATTTCTTAGGAATTGAAGTTTCCTGTGACTAACGAAGATTACCTTGTAAGAGCACAGCTGAGGACCCGGCGCAATAGCCTAGTGGCTAAAGTCCTCACCTTGCATGAGCCAGGATCCCATATGATTGCCGATTCTAATCCCGGCAGCCCCACTTCCCATCCAGCACCATGCCTGTGGCCTGGGAAAGCGGTTGAGGACGGTCCAAAGCCTTGGGACCCTGCACCCACGTGAGAGACCCGGAAGAAGTTCCTGGCTCCTGGCATTCTGTTTGACAGCTGCTCAGCTCAGGTTATACCAGCACTGTGAGTAGAAGCAGTCTGTTTACTTGATCTGCCTTACTTAGAAAAATTCAATCAATTGGAAAACTGCGAGCCAGGATGAGAGCCCCAGAGAGACAAATAGAACCTTGTAATCTGTTAGTTCACTCTCCAAGTGTCCGCAACAGATGGAGCCTCTGGGAACTGGGAATTCTGTCCAGGTCTTCCATGAAGGTGGCAGGGGCCCATCACATGGAACCATCACATGCTACTTCCCGAGCTGGAATCCAGCATGGAACTGGGATGTACCCAGGCGCTCCAATCTGAAAGGTGGTGTCCTAGGTATCTTAACCCACCCCAGTGGTTCTTACTTTGTTTTACAATACCAGTCCCTAAGGGGCTGGTGGGTTAGCCTAGTAGTTAAAGTCCTCACCTTGCATGCACTGGGATCCCACATGGTTGCCAGTTCCTATCCGGGATGCTCCACTTCCCATCCAGCTCCCTGCTTGTGGCCTGGGAAAGCAGTCAAGGACGGCCCAAAGCCTTGGGACCCTGCACCCACGTGGGAGACCTGGAAGAAGTTCCTGGCTTCTGGCTCCTGGCTTCGGATCGGCTCAGCTCAGACCATCGCGGCCACTTGGGGAGTGAATCAGTGGATGGAAGATCTTTCTCTCTGTCTCTCCTTCTCTCTGTAAATTTGGTTTCCCAATAGAAATAAATATATCGTTTTCAAAGAAAATACCCTAGGCAGCCATCTGGACTCCACAGTCATGGGCAATTTATTAAAGGGAAATTTCTAAAAAGGGGGAAAAAATACCAATCCCTAATTCATATAATGACTAATTTTCCGTGTTATGAACCATTGTTCTTTTTGATGATTTATTTCATCATTGATACATTTTATGCAGTCCAATATGGTAATTTGGTACATGTATGCACTACGTAATAACCAAACCAGGTACATGCATAAATTACAGGATCATTGCTTCCGCAGGTTTGGTACCTGGATCATCAGATCCGTGTCGGAGATGTTTAAGAAATACAACTTCCTGGGTTATTCACCAAACTACTGAGTCAGGATCTCTGAGAATGGAGTAAAACATTAACTTTTAACTTGGTTCTGTGATTATTTTTTTTAAAGATTTGTTTTTATTATTTTTTTATTGGAAAGGCGGATATACAGAGAGGAGAGACAGAGAGGAAGATCTTCCGTCCGATGATTCACTCCCCAAGTGAGCGCAACGGCCGATACCATGCCGATCTGAAGCCAGGAGACTCTTCCGGGTCTCCCACGTGGGTGCAGGGTCCCAAAGCTTTGGGCCGTCCTCGACTGCTTTCCCAGGCCACAGGCAGGGAGCTGGAAGGGAAGCGGGGCTGCAGGGATAGAACCGGTGCCCATATGGGATCCCGGGCGTGCAAGGCGAGGACCTTAACCACTTGCGCCACTGCGCCGGACCCCTCTGTGATTATTTTTAAATAGCTTAAATAGTTTAAATAGTTTGAAAACCGATCATGCTTAATTGTGTGTGTTAACTGGGTAAAACTGTATCATTTGTGTACAGGAAAATCAGATGTGGACTTGATAATGAAACGCACATGCCTGAGTATGCTGGAGTGATTCTTACGTAGAGGATGTGAGCAGAGCCCCAGGGATCTACGTGTTTGCTGTGCGTAGTACAATCATGACCCTTGGAGAAGTACTGACAGAGATGACCCTCAGTTCGATGGCAGTTGGCTGGCACCTTGGCCACCTCACTCAGGGTGCAGCAACACTGGAAGAGTGTTCTTTTGTTAAAAGCTATATTCGTAGGGTGACTTTCCAGAGAGGGAAACCCGCATTATTATGGCAAGGTTCATGTAGTCAGATGGAGTCTTCATCGGCACTGTGGTTTGAGTTTGGTGTAACCAATTCACTGATTTACCTCCATTGGCCATGATCAACTATTATGTGGCTTGGAAAACACACACACACATATAAACGTAGTGTGTGTGTGTGTGTGTGTGTGTGTGTGTGTATTCAGTCAGACCTGCTGTTTGATTTGAAAATACAATTCCTTGTATGGGACACAGATAAGATTAGCACTTCCTAAAAGAGCAATGACCTCTTAAAATAATAAAATTATAAACTGTGCTTGCATGAGTTGTCAAAAAGTACAATTTGAATAGCAGCATGCTCTGCTTTTTAAAGCCTTAAAACCAGAAGCAAAAAAACAAAACAAAACCAAAAAATCCATGTGTGCCAGCTCACATTGTGTTTAAAAACTCCATTGCTCCAGGGTGGAAAACAAAGTCATCCCCCACCTCCTGTTTTTCTAAAACTTGTCATTGACCAAAGTCAGAGTCCACGAAACCCTAAATAAATCTACAGTGGCTAAAGTCTATCAGGCAGATTCAAAGGAACCCTTAACAAATGCAATGCTTACCAAAGGAGAAACTGCACAAAATCCTACGACTGTGCTTACATGCCCAAACTGATCCAGTGAGCCAGCACATGTTAGAGCGCCATGGCGTTGGTAACATGATCTCCATTTGCGTTCCAGCTGTTTGAGAAAGTCAAAGAAATGTGTCCCAATGTGCACGAGAAGATCCGCGCCATCTCCGCTGACCTCAACCACAACGACTTTGCCATGAGCAAGGAGGACCTGCAGGAGCTGCTGTCTTGCACCAACATCATCTTCCACTGCGCTGCCACTGTCCGCTTTGACGACCCTCTCAGGTGCACAGCCTTCCCTCTCGCCTCCTGTGTGGCTGCATGGACGTGTGTGTGTGTACGTGTGTAAGAAGCAAGGTGGCTTCTATAGGCAGTGCATGCATCCTCAACAGAAAATGCAAGAAAACAAAATCTGAAACTCCACTGTGCATGTAATACAATGTATCTAGCTGTTGACCCACTAAGCGTGACATTCAGCAAGCAATTTGATATGAACATTGTTTAATCATTTCGTTCTCATTTTAATTAGATTGGGATTAGATGTCAAATGCCATTCAAAACCTTTTGTCTGTATGAGTTAGTCTTTCTCTTTCTCAATTATTATACTAATAGGTTTTCTGATGTTGGATAAGCCAAGTATTCCTGTAACGAATCATTTCATTGTCAGAACATCTTAAGTTTATATAGCTCTGTTAGCTACAGTATAGGATTTTGATATCAATTTTCATACTGGTCTTGGATCTTCATAAAGGCAACTTCACTGCTCATTTAAAAATTTATTGCTGCTCTCCTCAAGTTCTTTTGTGCTTTCCAACTTAAGTGTGATGTTAATTTATGTAGAGAAGCCCTTTCACACATGCAGGGGACTGTCTTTTGTTTCTTCCCTCCAGTCAATTCAGATCAAGTGACCTCCAAATACAAAACATATAGTGCTAAGGCGAAGAGGATTTATGTACGCAAAACCCAGCAGCAGCAGCGTCCGGTTTTACCCAATGCAGCCAGGACCCATCTTGTTCTTCTGGTCCTTTGCAGCTGTCGCTCAAAGTTCATGTCAGTTATAAGAGGGGTGGGGGGAATCCCCAGCGCCTATAAAACTATACTACATAATACAATGTAAGCAACAATAAAAAAAAAATAATAATAAAAAAAAAAAGAGTGGGTTGTAGGGAACTGATGCACTCCCTGTGTTCTGCCTCCTCTTCCTAGACACGCTGTGCAGCTGAATGTCACAGCCACCCAGCAGCTCCTGCTTATGGCCAGTCAGATGCCAAAGCTGGAAGCCTTCATCCACATCTCTACCGCCTTTTCCAACTGTAACCTGAAACATATCGATGAAGTGATCTATCCATGCCCCGTGGAGCCAAAAAAACTCATCGACTCCATGGAGTAAGTTGGATCAAATGAAGGGGAATGGAAAGGAAGGGTTGTGTTCCAAGGCTTGAGAGTCCTTCATTAACGGTGGACAAAGTGGCGTACCCCTCAAACCAAGTATTTCCACAGGGGATATCTTGGATGCCACATCCTGCTGGTCTACTGAGGCCCTTTTAGGAAGTACTAAAGAGGAAGGAGGTACAAAGAAATGCTTTATTATGTGATTTGTGAGTGTATGAGGTTGTATATAGGATATATGATCTATACTTGGAAGTGGCGTCACACTTCTTAAAGAACTCTGCATTGTTACACTAACTTAGTTTGACACAACTCCACAACCATCCAACGGTAAGACATGGAACCAGTCTCTTGGCCTCATTGAGCCCTGTTTCCTTCGTTTATAGTTGGGAAGATGAATTACGTTGCAAAAAACATTTACTGAAGTGCAGTAGAGCTAGCCATTGATCAAGTAGTTGGCACAGAAGACTAGGGAAGAAAGGGAATTCCTCTGAGTCTGTGCAAAAGAGTACAGTCTCAAACAAATTAACAAAAAAAAAGAGTACAATTTCTTGTCCTAATTGTCTGAGATATACTTTCTATATTGTTTTATTGCATAGGAAAAATAGTTCATTATCTTCTTCTTGCCAAGTAATAGGAATCATTTTCTTCTTAGGTATTGGACGTGGTCTCTGAGTGTTTTTTTTTCATTTTTTCCTTCATTCTCTTGTTTATTTTTATCAAGTTTATCCTGTTTTGTGATTTTTTTTAACTCCTCATAAAAATATTACAGCAGAAATGTGACTATTGACAGTATCACTTTGTGTAATGCTGTATTTATATTTAGAATCAACTCTGTAAAAATATTTAGACAACTAAAAAGTCTACTCCCTTCAGGGAAATTATTTATCTCCTCCAGCTCCAAGATTAGATATATATATTTATATTTTTACACATCATTTGAAACTATCCCGGACATTGTGGTATAACAGATACAGCTGCTGCCTCTGCTGCTGGCATCTTATATGAGAGCTGATTCACGCTCCAGCTGCTCCACCTCGGATCCAGCTCCCACCTAATGTACCTGAGGAAGCCGCAGAGGATGATCCCAGGTGCTTGGGCCCCTGTACCCATGTCGGAGGCCCGGCAGAGGCTCCTGGTCCAGGTCTGGCACCACCCAGCCATTGTGGCTATTTGTGGAAAGTAGATCAGCATGTGCAAAATTTTTCTCTCTCTCTCCTTGTGTAACTCTGCCTTTCAAATAAATAAATCTTTTTTTTTTTTAAATCCAGAACAAAGAATGAGAGTCACCTGAAAGATCTAAAGGTTAGTTGACGTTTCTAATAAATGCTCAGCTGATGTAAAAGAACATTTAGTTAACTCAGAGCCAGGCTAATCGGGGAAAAGGCAGATGTAGTTTGCTGTTAAACATCTACTATAGTTTGGACGTGAGCTTGGATTTCCCCCGCAGACCATGGGTTAAAGGCTTGGTCTCCAGGGCAGTGACAGCATTAATAGCTAAGATCTCGTGGGAGGTCCATGAGTCCTTGGGGGCTTTGCTGTGGAGGGCAGTTAGCATGAGAGAGTGGTTATAAAAGCCTGCAGTGAGCCCAGACATTCTCTCTGCCTTGTGGCTCACCACGAGCTTTCCTCTGCACGTGCTTCACTGGACTCTGAGGACATCCAGCCCAGGGCCCAGCCGTGGGTTTGGACCTTTAAGACCACACGTTAAAGCAGTAGCCTGTCTCAGGTGTTTCCCTGCAGTGACCAAGTAGCTGAACGATACAAGGCCCACCCAGCTACATGTAAAGCCGTGGTGCGTTTACAGCAGGGACGTCGCTGGCTTGCCAGCAGGTTCCCTTTTCCAGTGTTGTCTCCTGGTCAGTGCAGTGCAGACAGTGAGCTCCTCAGAGAAGAGGCAGACCTGTTGTGATTCCTGGAGCTCCCTGCAGCGCAGGTGCTCAGTGAGATCGGAGCAGTCAGAAAAGGGCCAGGACCAGCTAGTTCAACTGGTGCGGGGGCTTCTAGAAGCCCTCTCTACCACCTCCTCCCTCCTGCACGGAATCCATCACCAAATACCCCTGGCTTTTTAAGAGAGGAGTTGGCACTCAGCGCTTGGCACACTCCCTCAAGTAGAGGTCATCTGGAAAGTAGAGAGGATGGCTCCGTGGGTTATAGTCAAACTGCAATTGGCATTTGAAAAGAAAATAAATACACTTTATATCAGACTTCCATTTATTGTCCTCCAAAGATAACAATTATGTGAACAAACACGCAACCACACAGAAGTGGGAATAAAATTAAATTCCACCTCCACAAAATACTTTTAGAATTCAATTACAGTATTAAAGTGCTTTTTTTTTTCCTTTTCAAAAATCAATAGGAAAAAAAAAAACCCCTCATATCCAGGATTCTAAATCCAGGCCCAACTGTCCAGTGTCCCTTCTCCACTGGCATCTATGCTGTACTCAGAGGAACGCCATGGCCCCTCCCAGACTTGGTCACCTTGGCTTAGTAGGTCTGTTCTCAGAGCCTGCCTCTGGCTCAGCTTCATTTGCGTTATCGCCCACTCAGGAGCTCTCTCCTGGGGCTTCCCAGGCTCCTGGATCACAACGCTTAAGATAATTCATTATAACTATCCCATTGCTTCTTGTTGTTCTCCACTGGACAACCAGCTGGTCAACAAAGACGGCATTTCTCATGCCTCCGTCTGTCACTTCGTGCCAGTACACATTAAAGACTCAAATACTTGCAAAGTAGATGAAAACTGTTTCCCGTTATTATTGGAAGACCTGGAGGCAGAGGGAGACAAAGACAGAGGCAGTGAGCTCCCAACCACTCCCTAAGAGGCCACAACAGGTGATATCAGGTGGGGGCCACACTTGGGAATCTAACCCACATTCTCCATGGGAGAAGCAGGGACCTAATTCCTGGAGTCATCACTGGTCTGCTCTGGCAGTAAGCTAACTCATGAGCCAGAACTGGGACTCGAGCCCAGGTGCTCCAAAGTGAACCCTAGGCTAAATGCCTGCTTTTGGATTCTCATCACGTTGTTCCAGCCTTTTTGTTTGTTTGTTTGCACATCAGTTAGAATAGATGACTGGATTTCCTAAGTGTGAGATTTTGGGATTATGGAAGTCTTGTGTGCAACATATCTTTATACCCACATTACATCCATGAAAAAAAAAAAAAGATTTTAGTTCAAATGCAGATTTACAGAGAGAAGGAGAGACAAAGAGAGACATTCTGCATCTGCTGCTTCACTCCTCCAATGACCACAGCTGCTGGAGCTGGGCAAGTCCAAGCCAGGAGCCTGTCAGGGTATAAGGCCCCAAGGATTCGAGCCACCTTTCACTGCTTTCCCAGCTGCATTAGCAGGGAGCTGGAGCCAAAGTGGAGCAGCCAGAACTGGGATCAGCACCCATATGAATGCCAGGGGTTGGAGGAGGCTTAAGCTATTACGTCATAATACTGGTTCCCTCCCCCCCCCCATTTTTTTAAATCTGTATTCACTTATTTGAAGGACAGTGTGACAGAGGAGGATACATAGAGAATTTCTGCCTGTTGATACACTGCTCAAGTGTCAACAATGATCAAAATGGCCAGAAGCTGCAACTAGATCTCGAGTCATCTTACATTACCATCTGCGTACATTAGCAGAGCCTGGATCGGGAGCTCAGAGCAGCCAGGACTTGAACTAGACACTTCACAATGGAATGTGGATATCCCAAACGGGCAGCAGAATCCATTGTATCTCGATTCCTGTTCCTTAATTATTTCTAATGGTCCGTTCTTCCTTCTCAAATGTTTAGTGAAACTTGTATGTAACATTTTGGATAATATTTTAAATTAAGCCCAACATCTCCTCAGGAACAAGGTCATGTTTCATGACTGGTTCCATAAATACTGTACCAAATGAAATTTTTGGACGATTTAGAATAGCAAAGAATATTAAATATTCTAAAGAAGTCTCTGACTTCTTATTGCTTTGGTAATAGACCCGGAGTAGCAGTCCAGAGCTGGCAAGTTCCCATGTCGTTTGGAAGTTTTCATTTCCAGGGCAGCTGTGACAACACTGGTGCACAATGAGATCTGCTAGAATACTCAAAGAGCCAAGGCTTACGACAGGATGATCTGATGTTGAAAGCAAAGTCATCCAGGAACGTGTGAAAATTGGGCCTCTGCATTTCCCAGAAAGTCAGCTGAATATGACTCTCCATTCTGGTAATTAGAAGAGGATCTGCAGGTTTCGGGCTGTGGATTTGCTCCATCGTGTGGGCCACAGGGACACGGATCAAGGCCCTCAGAAAAGCCAACGCATCTGTGAATGCAGCTCACACCTGGTCCTTGCCCCACACTCGCAGAGCTTAGAGCTCCCCTCACTTGCTGTCCACCCAACAGCTTCAGGCTTTCGGGCCTCAGCTGTCCTCCCTCAGACACGTTTTGAAAACTTCCAGAGCTATCTTGGTCTGGAACCATTCCCTATAGCTGGAATTGAACTGCGTTAACAACAAAAGCATACACACATTTTAGTAACTCAAATGATGTCTGTCATTAGTATGACTGCCATGACTGTTAACCAGTCGTTGTTGCAACTCTCACACCTGCAGTTGCCTTCTCCCCACATCTGAACTGGTGTGGATAACCTCTTGTGTGATGGTGTTGCCAGTCCTAAGTATTTCTTTATTGTTCCAACTTCTACACATTTGGCAACCTCTGCCTTTAGAAATGTCAGTGCATTAATGACCCCCAAATTCCCAGTTACCAAATTGATAGCTTAAGTAGAATGTTTATTTCTTAACATGTACATAAAAGATCAGGAAAGAGTTTTCTGGCTGATGCTTTTCCTGTTTTCCAAGTCAGGATAACTCAGGAAAGCTGCTAAAGAAGACAAGGAACTTTTGTACTTTAATACGCAATGTCTTCTTGAGAACAGACTGCAGTGTATTCAGACTTAATGACTGAAATGGGTAGAATCAGTTTCTTTCAAAAATTCCCTAGTATGCCTGACAATAACCAGGGCTTGTTTAAAAAAAAAAAAATGTGGATTGATAACTCTTATCCCTGAAGACTGACTTACTCTTTCTAAAATGTTGCACAGGAATCTGCATTTATTCAAACCAGGATGTCTGTGCCGTATCTTTTAACGGACAGGTTTGGAGTTTAACACATCTTTCTTAACAACCTACACCCCTCCCTTTTCCTGCTCATCTCACCTTCTGTGGCCCTTGAATTTCTAGAGCCTTTGGGAGAATGGAAGTCCCTGTAGCTGCTACGAATCACACTTCTGAAGTTTTCTGGCTGCCAGTAGGCTTGGTTAAAGCCTCCGTGTAGAAGGGAAATGGTGTTTCTTGACCAAGCACTGGGCGAGGGCAACGGGCTATGGTGGGCGCACTGAAGGCAGCGGGCTTTGGTGGGCGCACTGAAGGCAGCGGGCTATGGTGGGCGCACTGAAGGCCAGGAGTGGATGAAGAGGGGCCTGAAGACTGCAGGCATCTGACAGGGGAACCAGGAAAAGAGTTCAGATTTTCAAATTTTGTACATTGTTACATTATGAGTTGATCTATTGTAGGAATAAGAGGAAAAATAAATTCTAGCACTTTGTGCTTTTATTTTCAGAGCCTCACAAAAGCTGACAAAAAGCTGAAAATTCTGCATACCTTAACATTTACAGATTTTTTTTTTCTGGAAAAGAAAAAACAATCAACTTTGGTGTATATATTTTCTTCGGTGTGCTGTTGTTATCTGAACTTAGAAAAAAATCCTTTGCACTCCTGCCTCAAAAACAAACAAACAAACTGAAGTAAATCATGTTACCAAAGCAAAGTTGATTTCACCTACAGCTTCAGAGGTGCCAGGATATGACACCTGTTGTCATACGACACCTGTTGTGGGGAGGACCTCAAGGCGAAGGGTGAAGGCAGTGAAAACCACACGTTGTATCAGGAGGTCCCATTTCAGATCAGGAAGCCAAAAGACTGGCGTCTTGCAATTCGCTTGTGAGGGAGCGACCACCCCAGTTAACCCGAGGATCTGTGAGTGACCACCCCAGTTAACCCGAGGATCTGTGAGTGACCACCCCAGTTAACCCCGAGGATCTGTGAGCGACCACTACAGTTAACCCGAGGATCTGTGAGCGACCACCCCAGTTAACCCTAGGATCTGTGTGTGACCACCCCAGTTAACCCGAGGATCTGTGAGCGACCACCCCAGTTAACCCGAGGATCTGTGAGCGACCACCCCAGTTAACCCGAGGATCTGTGAGCGACCACCCCAGTTAACCCGAGGATCTGTGAGCGACCACCCCAGTTAACCCGAGGATCTGTGTGTGACCACCCCAGTTAACCCGAGGATCTGTGAGCGACCACCCCAGTTAACCCTAGGATCTGTGTGTGACCACCCCAGTTAACCCAAAACTTGGCCACAGGGTGCTGAGGGATGTTTGGTTCATTTTAGAAACGTGCTTTGTCTTACAGGATGTCTTTCCCCTCATGCTAATGGACTTACTCTTGTCAAAACAAGCAATGGCATTGTTGTTTCAGGAGCACAAACTGAACAGATGTCCTGAAAAGGAACTTGGGAAGCCAGGTGGATTTTTTTTTTTTTCCCTAAATACGCTGGTGTCTGACTCTGTGAGGTTGTAGATGTTTTTTGGGGCACTGTTAGCAAAGATACTTTACAGTGGACTCTCAGCCGTGCAGCTACAAGCCGATTTGTTGTTTTAATAGGAGAAAATAAGGATGACTTCATTGCACTGGTTCTTTTCAGTTCATCTAGGAGCTGTGAGTTCAGTTGTGAATATGCCCTTTTGTCTTCCGGGTAACCTGAGAAGTTGACACAGTTGTTGCCATTTTTTCACAAGTGGCATCAGGCCACTTGTCCTTAGCGTTCAGCGACTCATCATGGCAGCAAAGCAGCGACAGCTAACAGTGTCTACAGCCGGGATACGCTGTGATGAAGTTGACACAGTTGTTGCCATTTTTTCACAAGTGGCATCAGGCCACTTGTCGTTAGCGTTCAGCAACTCGTCATGGCAGCAAAGCAGCGACAGCTAACGGTGTCTACAGCCGGGGTACGCTGTGATGTTCTCTCCCATAGGAGTAGGAGCAAGTTCTGAAAATCATGCTAACATATCCAGGCAGCAGGGAAAGCTTGTAGGGTATGATTTCCCCAAATAGCTCTGCTCCCTAAAAGAAGCGTTAGCTGACAATCTTTTTGTTGTTCTTTTCTTACAAACATTGTAGATTCATTGAGTAGTTCTGACACGTTTTGTCAAAGGTTAGGCTAATGCTATAGTACCGTGGTTATCCGTGACACATGTCATCTTGTAAGTGGGAGTATTCAGTAATCAGGCTATTGTGGCTGTTTTGATGTGCTGTGCTGTCATCACTACACTTGACAGGCTCCAAAATGCATCAGAAATCTCCGGAAATAATTACCCAGCTATTATAGCAGAGACTCTGAATAGACCTTGCGGCACTTTTCATAGATTTGCTAGAAATGAATTATTATGTATGAAATTGCCAAATGCCATTGCTTCGATCTTATGAGGTATTGAATGAATCTTTTAAAATTAAAAGCTAAAGGTTTCAGGATTGGTGCACCAGGTTTTCATTAAACTCTTCAGAATGATTTTGGGGGCTGTCAGTGCAGTACCTGGAACAAAAGAGCCTGAAAGCCTGCGAATTCAGCACCTAGCCTCCCTCTGGGTGAGAGGCCAGCATTCCAAACTACACTCCACCCAGAGGGAGGCTAGGTGCTGAATTCCAAACTACACTCCTTGAGGGTACTTATGAGCCTGTTGGAGAAGTAATTAGAAATAATGGCAGATTGTCCATAACGAAGTAGGAGATTGCTTACCTGTTGACTCTGTCCGTCTGTTGACCTGTTGACTCTGTCCGTATGTCTGTCATCTCGCCTGAGTGTCTAGTTCAGAGAATTTCAGTTGTAACTGATACAGTTGAGCTTGGGACCAGGAAGCAAAGATTTCAGCCACCAGACCTGACTGGAGCAGGTGCATATTCACACTTGGTATCCTGTGACCATTCTACATTCTAGAACTTCAGCCAGAAGACCACAAGACTCGCTTTCCACCTGTTGTGTAACATACCTTGCTAGAATGGTTTTACTCTACCAACAGGTGGTTAGATGACGCCATCATTGCCGAGATCACACCGAAGCTGATTGGGGATCGACCCAACACTTACACCTACACCAAGGCCTTGGGAGAGATAGTGGTGCAGCAAGAGAGCGAGAACCTCAACATTGCTATTGTGAGGCCCTCCATTGTGGGGGCTACCTGGCAGGAGCCTTTCCCAGTAAGTCCCCTTAATTTGCTTGGAATTTTGGTTTCAAATTTGGGTCCTTCTAGTCCAATGTCTTTTTCCTTTTTGTTGTTGTTGTTTCTTTCTTTTGGAATTTGTAGGTAAGTGCAAGAAATCAAACCTGAATCTGTTGCATTAGGGCCAAATTCCATATGTGGTTCAGAATTTACTCAGTCTGGGGAGTTAGTCTGAAGATCTTAAATTAGCTTCCATTGCTGGCCTCAAAAGTCCCATGGGAAATAGCTTTCTGTTCTTGGCTTTCCCACCATGGTTTAAATATACCAGAATGTTCTTCACGGCCAAATTGGTCGTACTTCAACTGCCAGAGCAGTTTAGACAAATAATTTTGATCTGCGTCGGTTTGAGAAGTAGTTTGGATTATGCCAGCTTCTTCAGAGCAGCCCTGGGAAGATGAGAGCTACTGCCTACCAGCGACGCAGCGACCTTTCGAGGAGCTCATCTGTGACTCTGGGCTGTTGGGACTCATCTGCAGAGCCGGTGAAATAAGACCGTATTTGAGTAACGCTTACTGAAGTACTGAGGGCTAATAGGTGGCACAGAAAATGCTAATCCCTACATTTCCTCCTCTCTCCTCCTGCATTATAGAGACACGTTTTGACTTTTATAGATAATCAAATGGACATAATAAGGTCAACCGTCTGGCTAAGGGCGTAGAACATATGCTCAAAGACATTTCCTTCTAGCTGCTCTTGAACATACCTCTGCTGGACTATCTCTAAGTAAATGTCTTCACTCTCCTTCTCTCTTTCCTCTTTCTGTGTCACACACACACACAGCATATAATATGCTATGGACCCTAAAGCTGTTAAAATATCTTAAAACCGAATAATCCTTACAAATTACATTTGGAATGTTCCCGCAAGGGAGGTGAAAATCAAACATCAGCGGTAAATAAATTATGGTTGATACATTCTTTAGGAGATGATATTAATACCAGTTCAGTATAGCCTAACCCTAACCATGAGATACTGGGAAACAATCTTTTTTTAAAAAAAGATTTATTTATTTATTTATTTATTTAAAGTCAGATATACAGAGAGAGGAGAGACAGAGAGGGAGAGCTTCCATCTGATAATTAACTCCCCAAGTGGCCGCCCGTGCCAATCTGGAGCCAGGAGCCAGGTACTTCTTCCGGGTTTCCCACACAGGTGCAGGGTCCCAAAGCTTTGGGCCGTCCTCAACTGCCTTCCCAGGCCACAAGCATGGAGCTGGATGGTAAGCGGGGCTGCTGGGATTAGAACCGGCGCCCATATGTATGGGTCCCGGCATATTCAAGGCGAGAGGACTTTAGCCGCAAGGCCAAAGCACGGGGCCCCAGGAAATAATCTTGACCTTCTGCTTATAAAAGCACTGTTACTAAGATCTCTGTTGTTGGAGAGTCAAAATAGAGTGCAGAGAACCCAGTGCTGCGTCACTGATTTTTGTTGGAGGCCATGGAAATACTGGGTTAGACACACTATTGACCAGGGCCTCCATGCTGATTTGAAGTTTACTAAGATTTGCGTGCAGGTGCTCCAGATCCACCTTGGTTCTCTGCGACGTCTAATTAATAGAGATGTTCTCTTTCCTAGGGTTGGGTGGATAATCTGAACGGACCTAGCGGGCTGATTATTGCGGTACGTATCCCAGAGAGGAAGCACTCGCTGCTCCTGTAATGGAGCAATGGTACCAAAATGCTTAACGCTAATCCAAAACCCCAAGTGTCCCTGCAGTAACAACCAAGGCATCTTATTTTAGTTTCACTTACTGGAAAATACAGACAGATTGGAATTATACTCCTCGATAACTTTATTATACATAAAACAAGTGATATCATCACTTCTCTAAGCATAATGATTTCCAGTGGCATCCATTGTTTTTTTTTGTGGCTTTTTATTTCTGAAAGTCTTTGTTCATCCACGGTTTTCCTTTAGTGACCACAAGGTGGAGCTATCTCATCGTTGCCAGTGTTGATTCATACTTTGACATAGGGATGGGTGATGTCTTAAAAAGCATGGCCTCCACGAAGAGTTAAGTACTTGGTTATGAGGCATGCAAGAGTTTACACGTGTGTAGGGAAAGGAACTAGTCATCAAGAATGAGAACTACCGATGGAGCAAACCTCAAATACACCAGTGTTGGGAAAGCAGAAGGCATCTCAGTAGGGAAGGCTCCCGGGCCAGCAGCCGTGCTGCTCTTCCAGGGAGCAGGGCAGCCTCCCAGCTCCTCCTAAGGCATTCGGAGCCATATCCCAGCCTTCCTGTGCAGGAGACTCTCACCAAATGGGCTTGGATAGTTCAGAATCACACTCGTCAGATGTCCTCTGCTCTCCCCGCAGCTGGGTACAGCATGAAACAGTATCCATAGGAAGTGGTGAATTGTGAGTGTTCCCAGCACTGAGCACCAAGTGACATTTGATTTTGCAAGTGGCCAATCTCTCTGCTCCCGACCTGCCTCCCTTCACCTCTTCCTTAACGTTTGCTTGGCGTGAACACCAGTGTGTTCACGTGATTCCGGGGCAGATCGCAATATCGTGCACAGCTGGGCATTGACTGAGGATTTCTTCATAAATTTCCCAAAAGGAACTAGTTGTGAGTGTTGATCATTGCAAATCAACATTGGAAACATATGAAATATCGAGAATCAGTTTCATAATGTCTTATTGACATGAGTAACTCCTAATTATTATATCTGTATAACGCCCATGATGAATTAAACTAAACAGTTGAACAAGGCAAATAATGATGGCATTCCCATATGAAAAAATATAAATTTTTGTTTTATTAAATGGTGGAATTTTGTCAGTTCTTAAATGTTTCTTAAATTTTTAATGTCGCTAGTGCTTTCAAGTTCATAAGCACTGGAAGAAAACAAAATCATTTAAGAAATGCTCAAGAAACATTACTGGAACATTTTGGAAGCCATACATGTTAAAATGTTCGGGGTTTTTTTGTTCGTTTGTTTGTTACAGGTAGCGTTGAAAATTCCCCAAATGCCCACAGCAACCAGCATTTGTTCAGGCCTAGGACAAGAAGCTAGAACTCTGTCTGCCTCTCTTATAGTGGGTGACAGAGACCTGAGTACTCAAGCCGTCTGCTGGCACCCAGGGTGTGCATTAGCAAGAAGCAGGGTCATGAGTGGAGAGGGGGGGACTCGAACCAGGAGTTTCAAATGTGGGACACTGGTGTCCCAGGCAGCAGTTAAACCACTCCAACCAATACTCACCCTGCGAATTACTTTCTAGATTTAAAAAAAAAAAAGTGTGCTTATTAGCTGAGTATATTAACCTGTCGCAAACGTGAGGAAATGTATTTCCTAAAGGAACCAGAGGACTGCCAGTCACTTCCAGAGACATTGCCACTTGACGTGAACTTGACAGGAAGGTTGGCTAAGCTGCAAATCCAAAGTAGCACAATTACCTACTAAACAGCATATCAGTGTAGCTACTTTCTCTTAAGATTTGTTCTATTTTTTATTGGAGAGTCAAATTTACAGAGAAAGAAGGATATATAAAGAGAAACATCTTCCATACACTGATTCACTCTCCAAGTGGCCACAGCAGACAGAACTGAGTGAATCTGAAACCAGGAACTTCTTCCAGGTCTCCCACCTGGGTGCAGGGTCCCAAGGCTTTGGGCCATGCTCTGTGGCTTTCCCAGGCCACAAGCAGGGAGCTGGATGGGAAGTGGAACAGCCGGGATACGAAGCGGCGTCCACATGGGATCCTGGTGTTTGCAAGAGTTTTAGCCACCGAGTCTTCGTGTCATTAGCTAATTTTGCTAACTGAACTGGGCTCTTCTGTTTAAGATCTACTGTAATCCAGCCATTACCTGTAAGTTGGCTTAACACGTTATGTTCTTTACCCCATACAGGCTGGGAAGGGGTTTCTTCGTTCCATACGAGCTACTCCAATGGCAGTGGCAGATCTAATTCCAGTCGATACAGTTGTCAACCTCACTCTAGCGGTTGGGTGGTACACTGCAGTCCACAGGTAGGCATGAAAGCGTTTGTCTCAGCTTTTTATGTAGTTCTTCATGTGACAGCTCACCCTTACATGCACAGCGATGTTTTCTAAATACTGCTTTTACTTAGTTTAGCAACGTAAAAATCTTCCTGCCGCAAAAGCTTTCCCTTCTATTCTGTAAACTAAAATGCAGCTTCCTTTTATTTTCTTTAGTCAAAAGAGTTAGAAGTAAATGAAATGGCAGCTTGTTTTCCGCTCAGTTCAACTTCCAAAAGTTCAGGTCACCGTGTATGGAAATCTGCCAGTATAAAGAAAAATATGTGTGTGTGTGTGTGTGTGTGTGTGTGTGTGTGTGTGTGTGTGTGTGTGTTGATTTTACTTGGAGCTCTGTCAGGAAATGTTTTTTTAACGAAGTCAGACATGTGTGCTCTCTAGTATGCCACACTTTTACGTCTCTTAAACACACACCACACACACACACACACACACACACATACATCTTTCCTAGTCTTCTATTTTACTTATTAACCCAATGCAAGAAAACAGGAAAAAAGTGTTGTCCAAATTACCTCATAGAAAGTGATTGAAACTATTCCATGTAAATGTTGGTCTTATCTTTCTTGCATTCGTGCTTACCCACTTTTTACTTAAATTTTTTAGACCTAAGTCAACGTTGATCTACCACTGTACGTCTGGTAACCTCAATCCCTGTAACTGGGGCAAGATGGGTAAGTTCCTGCAGCAGGGAACCTGTGTCATGGGGAGGGCGTGCCGAGGGACATGTACAATGTCCCTCAGAGCTTAGAGGTCAGGGGGAGGTAGAGAGAAGCAAGAGACACACTCCCTGGCAGTGTGTGGCTGCGTCACGGCTGACTGCCATGTTACGGCACAGCACAGTTCCTGCATGTGGCCAGGGGGGCCAACTACAGGAGCTGCTGTGCCAGTGATTGGCAAAATGACTCTAAAACAGGCATTTGGCCCTCTGGTTAGATGCTACACGGGACACCCACATCCCAAAGCCAGGCCTGGTTCAAGTTGCAGCTCTGTTTCCAATGCCAGCTGCCTGTTATGGACACCCCTCTCTCTCGTGTGCTTAGATCCCTGCCACCCTTGTGGGAGATTCGTATTGAGTTCCAGGTTCTGGACCTCAGCCTGGTCTGACAAATAAATACATCTGCTGTAAGAGATGCTTCAGACACTGGGACCAAGGTCTCGGGCAGTGCTGAAAAGTTACCTTAAAGGAACATCCATCCACAGGAGCCTAGATGCTGGGGAAGCTGCTTTGGCGAACCCTGTACTATACAAACTGTATTGATTTGTCTGCATGTAAGGGGTTGGTCCCCTCGGTTCTGTAAAGCCCGTGGAAATAAATGAACCAGTGTAATGAAGGCATGAAGCTATTTAATGAGACATCTCAGAGCCTCTCTACATACTGCTGAGCCATGTGGTAAACGGAGAGGGCCACCTCAGAGCAGCGAGGCTTCGTGGCTCATTCTCTCACTGCCTGCAGCCTGAATGATGTCCAAGAACCGTGAGTACCCAGAACTGCAACCTGAACCAGGCCTGGCTATGGGATGTGGATGTCCTGTGTTGCATCCAACCACAGGGCCAAATGCCTGTTTTAGAGTCATTTTTGCCACTAATTTACCCCCTAATTCACTATAACAGCTGGAGCTGGGCTGATCTGAAGCAAGGAGCCAGGAAATCCTTCTGGGTCTCCCACACGGTGCAGGTTCCCAAGGCATTGGGCCACTCTCTGCTGCTGTCCCAGGCCTTGAGCAGGGAGCTGGATCAGAAATGGAGCATGCAGGACATGAACCATCATGCATGAGGGATGCCAGCATTTGCAACGGGAGGATGAGCCAATTGAGCCAATGCACCAGGCCCTAAAATCACACATTCCTAACCCATAGACATTATTTGATTGTTATAGATAGATCACTTGTTGCGCATGCAGTCTATTTATCGTTCTCAGAAACCGATTCTTTACATGAAAGTCCTTAGTCTTCACTATTTTGACCCATTGCTGATGTCCCCTAAAAGGATGAGTTTAGTTGCTCCTAGACTTAATGTTTACTCTCTTTTTGTCCAGGATTGCAAGTCTTGGCAACTTTTGAGAAAGTCCCGTTTGAGAGAGCTTTCAGGAGGCCTTATGCCGACTTCACAACCAACAACTTCACAACTCACTACTGGAACGCAGTCAGCCACCGGGCTCCCGCCATCGTCTATGACTTCTACCTGCGGCTCACCGGAAGGAAGCCCAGGTGAGGAGCTGCGTCAGTGGTAGGGAGGGGTCGCTGCATGGGAGACAAGGGCCCTAACATCTCTTATTCCACCCGTCAGCTGAGGATAAAAAGGGATGGACTGAATTTCTCTCTCACACACGCAACACGTCTTTGGGCAATGACAACGGTAATAAGAAACCAAGGTACACTCCAATCTTGAAAAAGCCTCCACCCTAAGAGTTGACAGGAGGCAACTTGCTTGACAAGTTCACGCAAAAAGAAAAGCAATGGGGACTCGGCTAGTGGGATTTCCTAACACAATGCCCAGTGAGCAAGAGGTCACTGTGTGGTTCTCAGAGTGGGCTAAGGTGATGCCCAAGGACCCCATTTTCATTACCACTCAAGGGCGATCTCTTCCTCATCCCTGCTTTACCAATGAGAACACACCTGAAGCGGTCTCATTGGAGTGGGAGAGGAGCGATGACTTTCAAAGCCGGTCTTCTGTACTAGATTTGCTGCCACCTAGAGCTGTGAGAAGAAATGACAGGAGGCATTGTGCTGGTGCCGAGGCACCTGGGGCACATCCAACTGTGGAGCTTGGGAGAAGTCTATAGCATCGTCTCACTTAAATGTTCTACACGTCATAGGACTCCACAAGGGATCAATACTAATAGCAGTTCTTATGACCAAGAACCACAAACAGGATTAATATTGCCTCTGTACCAGCCCCTTCTTAATGGAGGAAGTTTTCTTTAGCATTTATGATTTTCTGCCTTAAAGGCAGAGAAAGTAACTAAAAGTGGGCAATGTAGAGTTTTTCTTTTGTACTCACTACTCAGCTCTTCTTGATCAAGTAGAAAAAGGTATGTAACAATTTTGGGCAAATACATGGATGGGGCTTCTTAAATAAGGATATGAGAAAAGAAGAAACAAACAAACTTGGTAGGCAGAAACGCTATCATCCCCAAACTATGAAAGAAAGAAAGCCTGAATAAGGCATAAAATTCAGTAAGTAAAAAAGAAAAACATAAGCAGAAGAGATGCATAAAAACCTGCTCGGCTTTTCTTTGTGAGAGGGTAAGCTGTAAATCTTTGTGGGAAACAGGGTTGATTGGTTCATTGAAACCAGTTTCAACATTAATCTTGGTGGAAGAACATGCTGAGATTCTGCCAGACGCATTCACACTGTATGTGTGTTTAAGTGTAATCTTTGTCCTGTTTACGTCTGTGTATGGGCACGTATAAACATAATAGGGCTTTGAGATGGGAGTGTGTGATGGGTGCAGTTCCCACTTTTTTTCAGCAATTTTCTATGCAAAAAAATTCAAGTCGTTTCGACGTCCTTGTTTCCTTCCCCAGTGGGGCAGCAAGATCAAGGTCCAAGGCCCTCCTCATCTGGCCGTGTCCTTTTTCTTTGTACCCCTAACACTGCATGCCACCTTATGGACGCCAGCCTTTCCAAATGCCAGACTCCCCTTTGCTGCTCATCCCCCTGACTGTGAGAGGGGCTGGACTGTTCTTTGTTCATTGGATAGTCATGTCTTTTACCCTGTGTTGTTCCTGGCCTATTTTTCTATTGGGTTGTCCATGTTCATTTATAGGAACTTGTGTGACTAAGTGAGTAAGAGAGAGGATATATTCTCATATTATTTCTAGCAACTGTTGTATTTTCTACTTTAGTTTTGATCTCAGAGTTTTTGTGATGCAAATGAAAATTCATATACTGTAGCTCTTTAGAGTGTGGGGTTCAGAATCAAATAACATAGGATTTAATTCTTGGTTTATCGATTTACCTCTAGGATACCTGAATTATTTCACCTTTCTAAAATTCTGATTTACTCTTTTGTAAAAAGGGAGAGAGGGAGAGAGTATGGTAATTAGTTCCATTTTAAATGGTTTTATTTAAGCCCTTAGAAGATAATAAGCACTATTACTGCTAGAGCAGTTTTGACTTTTTATGGGACAATGAGTTATTCTTTCCTGTATAGCTTTAGCATTTATGTATTAATAAGGCCTTCTCTCCCTGAAATGTACTCTTTTTTTATTTTTTTAAGATTTATTTTTATTATTATTTTTATTTTTTTATTTATTGGAAAGGCGGATATACAGAGAGGAGAGACAGAGAGGAAGATCTTCCATCCGATGACTCACTCCCCAAGTGAGCGCAACAGCCGATACTATGCCGATCCAAAGCCAGGAGCCTCTTCCAGGTCTCCCACGCGGGTGCAGGTTCCCAAAGCCTTGGGCCGTCCTCGACTGCTTTCCCAGGCCACAGGCAGGGAGCTAGAAGGGAAGTGGGGCTGCTGGGATAGAACCGGCGCCCATATGGGATCCTGGGCGTGCAAGGTGAGGACCTTAACCACTTGCGCCACCGCGCCAGGCCCCTCTTTTTTTATTTTTTAAAAATCGGTAGGTTGATAGTTTTGTCTAAAAAGCTACAGCACTGTGTAACCCTTATTTTATAAAAATTACATCTATTGAAATTACTTCAGTTACATCACAGTTGAGGAATAGAGTAGGATTTGGATCACAATAGTGAAGTGAAACCCTTTGGCTCTTATGTCAAGAAACAATGAAGTCATCCTTGTGCCTAAGAAACGTTATATGAGTCATGAGGTACATGGACATTCAAATTAGACCAGAAATAAGACAAATCCCCAGAAGGTCATCCAAAGCCTTTACTAATTTGACTGTGGTAACTACCCAAATTGGCTTAACTAGTGGTTAATAGTGGTGTACAAAATACTTTATCGGCTGAGCATGACTTGTAGCGAAAAGGACAAGAATTGAGGATTAGTTCTGTGTAGTAAAGCAAAGATTAATCATGTATTGTGGGGGTCAAATAGGAACATGTGAAGTATCTAAATTATTACAAAGTTGGAGGATTTACGTAGAAGATCTGGCTTAAATTCTGACGTTGGGTTTAGAAAATGTGGTCCGTGTTAAGTAGTGGGACATGGGTAGTGAGATGACACATGCACACACGGTTTTTGAAATCTGTCAGGACGTTGCTGAAATTTGGGCTTCGCCACTACCTAAAGCTCATGTTGCCTATCCATCAAGCCAAAGTCAAATGACTAGAGACCATCATTTTCAAATTTTCAGAGTAGGCCTAATAGGAAGTGGGTTATCCACAGTAAGTTCTTTTCCCCTTAGATGGGCGTTGCTTCACCAATGCTAATATCAATCAGCCCTTTGCTCAGAAGTTATAAACTAAGAAGTCAGGCCCTGCCGGTGTTTTGTTAAAATGCAGGAACATATGCAGTGAAGAGGCTAATAAACTTCCTGGATGTTTGTCTCAGAACTGGAAACATGAGCGTAGGTCCCTAAGGGTGAATATTGCCAGGCTTTACAACAAGTTGATTATTGAAGAGGGGAGAGTGGTGGGTAATAAGATATATGACAGATAAGGATGCTTTCTCATTGTCCTTGCTTTGCTTCAATCCACAGAGACAATTTGAAAGGGGGAAAAAAAAATAAGGATTTTTAAGTGGAAATGGGAGAAGAGGAAGAGGAACGATTTTACCACTTGCTGAAAAGCAACCAATCCCTGCCCGTGGCTGACGCGCAGGGAGCAGCCCAGCAGCCGCTGTGCTGACCTGCCTTCTGTGCATTCTGCCCTCAGGATGATGAAGCTCATGAACCGGCTTCTGCGCACCATCTCAATGCTCGAGTATTTCATCAACCGCAGCTGGGAATGGAGCACCTACAACACGGAAATGCTCATGTCGGAGCTGAGTCCCGAAGACCAGCGAGTGAGTCCTGCGCACACTCACACAAGTTCCACTTGGGGTGTTCCACTTGGGGTGTGGGGTGACTAGCCTGGAAAGCTGATGGTAAGGAAGTTTAATATGTGTGTGTGTGTGTATTTAAGCAGGCTTTTGTTTGTTGCTGCAAAGTCAGTGCTGTGAGCACAGTGGCAGAACACAGGTTCCTGAGTGTTTCTTGGACTGCACTTCCGTCTTCCCTTCAGCCTTCAGGAGTTAACCTTTCTTAGCCCCTGGTTACCTCTGGCTTTGCCCTGTCTGCCACAGCCTGTGGCACCCATGAAAACTAATTGTCCTCTGGCTCAAGAGCTCTCCCATGCGCTGCACTTGTCCCATCAGACTTGCTGCAGTTCCTTCACCTTTTCACAGCCAGGCCCTACGTATTCACTTCCCGACCTGACTCAGCCTTCCGCTGTCACTGTTGTCTTTTCTGGTCAGCCATCTTCCTCCTTGGAGCATTTAAACAATTTGGACTTATTTCTCACGACAGGCCTTCCCTTTTATTGCTTTGGGCGAGTGCCATGTATTTCTTTACCTGCTTGGTCATCGCAAAGAATAACTTCTGAAATCTTTGCACATTCAGAAAGTCAAGTTCTAGAAACCTTTTTGTCTCTCTCATGTCACCAAGAGCCACGTGTTCCCTGAGTGTGTCTTTAAAATGTTAACTACATTTTAAAGTTTTCGCTTTCTGGATCAATTCGTTGTCTCTACTGTTACAATTTTTTCCAAAATGTTTCCTGATGTATTTTGATCTGATGCATGTGACATGGAGAAGTAATGCCAGGTTTCTAGTTAGCCTCACTGGTTGTCCAGGAGTTCCATTCACACCCACCAGGGTCCTGCAGTAAGATCTCAATCCAAGCCACGACAATTTCAGGTTAGGGAGACTAACGGTTACTTCCATTGTCAAACATTATATTTGTAGGTATGTGAATCAGGCGAGATTTAGAAGGATGTTTTACCTGGGATCATTGATGAGTTCCTCTCAATGGACAAGAAATGGGACTGTCCAGAAATGTTTACCTTATATAGGCAAAAATCTCCAGCACTGATGTTTGAACTGCATGGATAAAGATCAAATTAGCTCACAAAAACAAACATAAAAAAGCCTGAAGCTATTACGAATTTGTTTTTTGATGAACAGTTTCAAAACATACATAGGCTTATATTTATTGCTTTTTCTCTGTGGAATTTTCTCCTACCTAAATAATTCAAAGGCAACACGAAGCTGTATAAAAATAAATGTGTGTGCGTGTAGACAAGTGGTATGACGAATAAGTAATATGTAGGAACATTATAAAACATATCCAGGCGAAGTAATAATGGAATAACTTTGGGAAAGTTTTGGGATATTTGGAATGTTTCCTTTGTCAATGCTCTAAATTCCATAAATGTTTGGGATATCTTTTAATAAATACATATAATAATAAAAAAAAAACTTAAACCCAAGCTAAAGAAATACAAACCTGTCTAAAATATGAAGTCTTAGGTTAGAAAACAAATGTGTGCATGAAAACCAAAATACCCCACTAAATTGCTGTAGGTTTTTCAAAATGTTTCTTTTAAAAATACCTGGAAGGGGAAGAGAGCGAGAGAGAGAGAGAGAGAGAGAAGACCAGGATGAAGAACTCAGTGTGTACCAATACCAGTATCCTAAGAGAAGCAATATTTTTTTACCCTTTCACTATAAAAAAAATGTTCATGAAGGGTTTTCCACAGTGCACTCTGAGACATGATGGGTAACATCTCTGAAACACATCTACTAACAACTTGTCAATAGTCATTCCTTGGCAGGTTCCTCCATGAAAGTTGAGAAGATGAACCGATATGACTGGTGAATCAGCAAAAGCTCTCGCCCTTTAAACAAAGGTTCACCAAATGCTCAGAATTAAATAGACATATTAATATTCAATTGCTTCCTTTCCGGGTCTAAGATGGTTTTATGTGATTAATATGTAACCTTTTTACATTTGCATATAAAAATTATATAGCCCTAGAGAATTACAGCCCTAAATCTTCATGATGTCAAATTCAATGAAATTATTTAAAAGTCTGAAATTTCCTGGATAGAGAAAAAAAAATGTGGAGTTACTCTTAGACTCTGGAGGATAGATACAAGTCAGAAAACAAACCAAGAGACTCTCCGACCACTTGAAGTCCATCAATGTGGCTTCCAGTGGTGATTGGTTCTTTGGTTTTGACCATCTATGTCCTGTAAGCTTCCACCAGAGACTAGCTGTGTTCCAGGGTACAAGCATGCCTTGGGATGCCCATATCCCAGCCTGGTGCAAACTCCAGCATCCTGATGATGTGCACCCTGGAAGGCAACAGGTTATGGCTCAAATCCTTGGGTCCCTGCTCCCCATATGTGATGTAGTTCTGGGGTCCTGGATTCTTTCTAGCCCAACTCCAATTATTGCAGGCATTTGGGGAATGAAGCAGCGGATGGAAGGTCTGCCTCTCTGCCTTTCCAATTGAAAGTTTTATAAAGGGATTGAGAGAAGGAAACTGAGAGAAGCTTCATTGGGTCAGATCCATACGAATGTGACTTAAACATAATCGAAGAAACTGCTGCATAACAAATAATTTCAACTTTGAAAAAAAAAAACAACAACAAAACAAACACACCACAGTTTCACCTTTTAAAAAATGACATTACAAATTAATGTGACATTCTGTAACTCGTTCATATACTCAGGAAGCAATTATTGAATTAGTTCGTGCCCCCTATTATTCTAGGAGCGCTATTTATTCCAACTGTAACTTTTTGTACTAAGATTAAAATTCTTCGTAGCAAGGTCTCAACCGATTTCAGTTCAGCCTAATCAAGCAAATCTTGGTCTTCTGTGAAGAAAATTGCTTCTGAGAATAGATTTGACCATGAGGCCACATGAGGTCCATGTCCAGGGAGCGAGAAAAGAAGCCTTTTGAAATCCTCCTGATGCTAAAAGTCCATGAAATATTGCAGCTTTATACCTATCTAACCACCTCCACCCATGTGACACCTGGTGAGATTCCTTGTAGTCTTTCATGCTATTTCAACAGCGTCACAACTAAACCTTTCAAGCGCCTCATCCATTAAGTTTTCCTGGATTTATTCTAATAATTTGGTATATGTGCATAAAGGTTGTCTTCAAATTACAAATTTTGAATTATACCCCTTACCTAATAATGTTTTTTTTTCCTAATTTTAAGATGCCATGAGTTCCAAGACATATTATAAATCTAGCCATATCTGCTTTTTTTTAAGATTTATTTTATTTTTATTTGGAAGAGTTACAGAGAAAAGGAGAGACAGAGAGAAAGGTCTTCCATCCACTGGTTCACTCCCCAAAAGGAATAAAGGCTGGAGCTGAGCCGATCTGAGCCGATCTGAAGCTGGGAGCCAAGAGCTTCTTTGAGGTCTCACGTAGGGGTCTGAGCAGTTGAGCCATCCCTTGCTGCTTTTCCAGGCCATAAGCAGGAGCTGGATTAGAAGTAGAACAGCCCAGAGTCAAACCAGAGTGGTTGCTTCACCACAGGCAGAGGCTTAGCTGACTGTGCCTTAGAACCAGCCCCTCCGCACCTGCTCTTAAAAATGCACGCATAAGTGTGTATTGACTTATGAAGTAAACATGGCAAAATGCTGACAATTTTTAAATCTGTGTGCTGTTAGGTCATATTTCCTCTATTATTTGAAATATTTTAAAAGACAAAAAAAAAAACCTGCAAAAAATGTATTCTTAGTTTTTAGAGTTAACCAAAACTATTTTTTTTTCTATGTCATTCAAGGCTCAAAGATGAACTTTAGGCTGCTCAAACCAGGTTTTCTTTTCTTGTTTTTTTTAAGATTTATTTTTTCTTTATTACAAAGTTAGATATACAGAGAGGAGAAACAGAGAGGAAGATCTTCCGTCCGATGATTCACTCCCCAAGTGATCGCAACGGCCAGTGCTGAGCCAATCCAAAGCCAGGAACCTCTTCCAGGTCTCCCACATGGGTGCAGGGTCCCAAGGCTTTGGGCTGTCCTCGACTGCTTTCCCGGGCCACAAGTTGGATGGGAAGCGGGGCTGCCGGGATTAGAACCGGCACCCATATGGGATCCTGGCGCTTTCAAGGCGAGGACTTTAGCCACTATGCCACTGCCGCCGGGCCCCATACCAGGTTTTCTTAAGTCATCTGTTGGGCCCTCCAAGGATCCTGACCCAGGACAGCAGCATTTTCCAATTGGAGCAGAAAGAAATCTACTACACGAAGCTCTGATCTTTACCTTACCATTTCAGTAACAAGCCAGAAAGAAAACACATTTTTAACATGTACGCCCTCCCCCTCAATCATCTTCCGTTACTATCACTGTCACGTCCACACTCTGCTTCCTTCCGCCAGTCTCTCTTCCTTCTCCCCATTTTTCCTCCCTACTCCTCTTGGATCTGTCCTCTCCTTGTACCACCAATCACTCTCATTTAACACGTAAATATTGCTAGGCTAGTCCAGAAGGTGCTGCCCCTGAACGCCTAGCTCTCCTGCATAATGGAGTGACAGTGTGGTAGGAAAAGCAAGCCGGAAGGATTCACCCTAAAACAGAGAGAAGACAGATGCACTATGTATTCTGGCCAGTATTCTTCCACAAGTGTACTTGGAAAGCACGTTAAAACAGCCACAAACTTTCAGCAGACTCGGGTGCCTTCCATTGTCCCATGAGCTTCTCGCTGTCCAATGTTGGTGCCACTTCATGTCAAAACATTCCAATATAAGTGACTACCTTCAGTAACAACACCTTTGAACTAACTGCTCGGGTAATCTCTTCTTTGGGGAGGACACACTGTCTCCTGTCTGAGTGCCACTTACTTAGGTAAAGCTCACCACGTGGACCGAGCGTAGCCAGCGTCGCACTTGTGTAGTCCACAGTCTTCTCTCGCCTTTCAGGTATTCAACTTTGACGTGCGCCAGTTGAACTGGCTGGAATACATTGAAAACTACGTGTTGGGAGTTAAGAAGTATTTATTGAAAGAGGATATGGCTGGGATCCCAGAAGCAAGGCAACACTTAAGAAGGTAAGTATAGTCAGTTGACATTTATGGAGAGCCTGTTGCTGGCTGTGTGGCTGATTTTATATCAGCTGTAAAATTTGAGCGGAGAACGAATGAACATTTCTTAGAGCTTTTAGTCTATTGCTGATCCTGTGTACTTTGCTGTGATATCCCATTAACACTACACAATTCCATTTAGACTTCACCACGACACTTAGAGGCAGGTTATCGTTTTTGTCATCTCATTTTCATCACGGAGGTATTTGGGCTCAAAGCCTGCAAGTGGCTTGTCTGTGGCAATGTGTATGTGTGTGTGTGTGTTTGTTTTCTTTTAAGATTTATTTATTTTTATTGGAAGGGCAGATATACAGAGAGAGAAGAGACAGAGAGGAAGATCCTCCATCTGATGATTCACCCCCCAAGCGGCCGCAACGGCCGGAGCTGAGTTGATCCAAATCTAGGAGCCTCTTCAATGTCTCCCGTGCGGGTGCAAGGTGCCAAGCTTTGGGCTGACCTCAACCGCTTTCCCAGGCCACAGGCAGGGAGCTGGATGGGAAGCGGGGCTGCAGGGATTAGAACCGGTGCCCATAAGGGATCGTGGCACTCAAGGCGAGAACTTTAACTGCTATGCCACCGCGCCAGGCCCTGTAATAATGTGTTTTAAGCACAGGAGCCAGACTAGACAGGAGACCCGATCATGCTATGGGACCTTGGAAAGTGGCACAGCCGTTTGACATTCTTAAATGTCTTTGTCAACATCCCCAGTGGACAAAGAATTCTAGCACTGCAAGGAAACTGGTTTGCAGTATAGACGCTGACAAGGATGGGAAAGTAGAGTGCAGACAGCAAAGTACCCTGACTAGCAGGGAGGTGACTTAAGAACCAGTGAAGACATGCCGTGGCAATATGGTGGAAAGTATATTTAGGAAATATGTGCTAGTCATGTTTGTGAAATGGCTTCAGGCAGAAAGTATCAGAAACCAACTGGGAAACAGGGTGGCAATCAACATTGAGCAAGAAGGCTGTGGAAACGCACAGCAGAAGGCTGCAAAGGCATGGTGTATGTTCTGGGAACGCTGAATATTTTCATGCTATAGCCAGGAAAAGGCACATTTTTGTTTCGCAGCTCATGGTGGGAAGGGTATTTGGCATTGTTTTAACTCTCTCTGTGTCTGTTTCTCAGGCTCCGGAACATTCACTACCTCTTTAATACCGCCCTCTTCCTTATCGTCTGGCGCCTTCTCATTGCAAGATCACAGATGGCTCGGAATATCTGGTTCTTCATCGTGAGCTTCTGTTACAAATTCCTTTCCTACTTTAGGGAGTCCAGCACGCTCAAAGTCTAGTACCATCTGGTGGAGCCTCTCAGATACCTCGGACAGAGAACTGTGGTTGTCACCATTGGCAAGTAACAAGGACTAGCCCAAGGTCAGATAGCAAACAAGCTGTAGTCGATCCATCATTTCTTGACACAACTCCTTAGCTTCCGTGCGACAAGGGAAGTCACACACTACCCTGTATCCAGATGTTTTAGGAGATGACCGTTTCCATCCTGTGTCAGCAACACTCTAGTGTATGCCTGCCCTTGCATATTCAACCTGAAAGTGCTCCTATCTTGCTATATTTAGCTTTTCTTTTCCCCTCAAGATTAATTTCAGTCTAGTCACATGGACGATGCATGGCAGAAGCAAAGCTAGCTAAAGACCAGCAGTACTGACCCTGGCATCCGGGAGGCACCCATTCTGAAAGCTTAGCAAGTTAGGTTGAGGAAGAATGGTCCTGACACCCTCCCAAATGCTGTAAGGCAAACAATGCCCCACGAACGTTGTCCCTCTTTGGTTTTCATGATATCCGTTGGATTCCTGGCTGGAGGGTGGGGTAATTAAAAAGGTGCATTCATATTAGCCATTTTTCTTAACTCTATTCACTTCTTAACCTTACAAAGGAAAAAGAAGTGTGAATGTTTATACAAGGAAGGCTTAAGCATGTCTGAGAGCTCAAGTTTATTACGCTTTTAAAATGGTTTCTTGTACTTTTGTCAGCTATTATTTCTAAATCTTTTGAATCTTAATAATCTCTTTTCCCAATTAAGCTTCTTTTGAGGTTACTACTTGCTTGTTAAAAGCTGCCAATCCTTATATTTATGCTTATTTGCCAAAGGCTAACAGGAGAGGACAAAATCCTAAGCTAGAATTATATAAACATGCAGTCACCTGATATTTGCCACTAAGGAAATAAAATTCCAAATAAAGTCTTACATTCTAGTTTTAGTGTTCTTGTATTCGCTGCAAAGGATTTACTACTCTTTGAATCGTTCCAGTTACGCATGGACTGTGGAGCGTACTTCAGAAAAGTGGATCCACTTCATAAAGCGACTCTAAACCTTAGAGAATAGGTGTGAGGTTTTTTGTTTCGCCTAGTCTAATAATGTACTATTGCCCCCTAGGTTCCTTCGTGTTTCGAAGGTGAGTTGGAGTACAGCAGTTCAGTTTAGCATGAGCTGGACCCACAGCCTGTTACTTAGATGCAGAATCTGGGCCTAAGCAACCAAAAGTGTCTTCACAGAACCCCCCGATAATCACATAGGCATAATGCATTCTCCAAGGTTGGCAGCTGTCTCTGTGGTTATCTTCACAAAGAGCCGCTGCTGTTCACATGGGCACATTCAGGTGGTCAGAGGGCACCAGGCCATAGGACAATCTCTCACCCGATATTAACAAATATTTTAGGGGTCTTTTGGGCAGTCCCTTCCCAGTCCCTGAATATGTAGAAACTACTTCCCATAGCAGACACTCCAGCTGTGAAACGTAAGGTTGGCGACCTTCAGTTGTCTATAGGGTACTTCTGAGTTACAGTAACTATAGATCAGTAATTTGAAATCAAGATATAGCTCAATGGGATTGGATAAAAAAAAAACATGGTAGCTCTAAGGATTCATATTTTGATTATTGTATATCTCAACATCTCAGTAATTCTACTGATCAGGTATTCACATCTTGACTTTTGACTGAATAAAACTTGGAATTTAAAATGGCCCCTTTCTCTTCTAGTATGGTGTCTTTAACTACTTACTGCAATGGCTCTTTCCACAACATCCACTCTGGAGAAAAAAATAATAATAATAATGGAAATAACCTTCCAAAGAACTCTTTCAAGCAAGCCAAGTTTCCATCAAATGGCAGGAGTAGTAACTGTCAGGTGAACACCCTTCTCAGACATGGGTACACGACTCTTCACTTTTCCTGACACTGGTAGCAGGGTTACGTTTATGTGCATGTTGTCTGTGCAGCAGCAGAGAAGTGACACGACTAAAGGTCTGAGGATGGGGCGGTGGAAGCAGGTGGCTGTGTGAGCATCCTCATGTGCAGCCGATTCCCATCAACAAGTCACAATTGCCTGAATGCCTAAGGAACACAAAATAATGAAAAATGCTTCCATTCCAGAAAGAGGAAAGAATGGACAAAGAGAAAGCAGGTGTGCGATTTAAAAATCTTGGTAAACCCTGTATTTTGCACCTGCAAGGCAGCTGAGAGATTTCAGAATAGAAGACAGTCGTCCCTGTCTGGGGGCTACTAGTGGCAGACAAAATTGGGGCAGAGGCTTGGACCTCAAAAGCACTGCTTAAAATTCTGTACTACCATCATCTCCAGGTAACAATGTAACTGACTCATTTAGAATCCAGAGGAAGCTTGTACAGTACTCACTATATTATCTCAAAAGGGACAATAAAAATTAAAGCACATTAGAATAAACTTTCAAAAGCATCAATTCTTCAAAAGTCATAGGAATCCCATGCAAATTTCCACCTAGCTACTTTTCTAGAACTGCTATTCTAATCATCTCTGACTGTAAACGGTTGCTTATGGGAAGACATAATGGTGTCCTACATGACTGAATTGAGGTATGGAAAAATATTGCCTAGATGACTTAATGAAAATATATGTATATAGAAGTTGCTGGTTTTCAGTCGTGATTGGTCTGAGACAGTAGTCCCTGAGAAGTGTAGACATTTGTGGTGGCAAAGGATGTTTAAGAGTGAGTGTCAGGAAGCTGCAATATCCCTTCTGATACACAAACATTTTATCTGTGTCCTTGTTTGATTCTAAATAGTAACTGAAAGCTAGAACTGCAAATGGGTGGGGTGGGGGGGACGTGAGTCAGGGCAACTACGGATCAATTTTAGAATACCTTAATGACATCAAAGATAAGTATAATACAAGTCAACACGTAAGTGGTTTCCCTACACTGCTTAAAAGTATAACAAAGAATTTACAGAACATTTATTGTACAGCTATGTAGGCTGTTAAGGTCTGCTTTCATCCATATATATTTTTTCACTATGCCTTTCCATTCTGGGCAGTTTTTCCTTAAGGTAAAACTTAATTCCCCGCTCCAACTCCTGACTCCAGCTGAATGCGGACGCATTCCCTGGGACGCACAGTGAGCACTCAGCTGGCTGTGTTCCTGACAGCTTCATGAAGTCCTGGGTTGAACTTGCTCCTGAAAGCCCTGCCGGCCATCGTGGCCATTTAGGGAGTTAACCTCCAGTTAGGTGTTTGCAAACTCTATGCCTCTTAAATGAATTAAAAATTGAATATATTTTTAAAAAGAGAAAGTACTGGCTTAAAAGGCATGTTGGTATGCTCAAGGTACTGAAGTTCTTGAACTCTAGCATAGTTTTGAAGTGAAGGAGCTGCGTATCAATTTACTTTTTGATAACTGATTACCCTAAGACGTAATAAAGGTATATAGTATAGTGCTATAGGAATTATCTAACAGACTGGAAGAGTCATCACTTCCAAAGACGATCCTAAAGGTAGTGCGAAGTATACAAATAGTGCACCAGTGAAATTATTCACCTCAATATTTCATCTTTTCCACAAATATATGCAAACATAGCACTTAGGGGTCCGTTCCACCTAATTTGAGGCTTCAGATTTAAAATATGTAGAATTCATACAAATATAAACACTAAGTACTCGAAATGAGCATGGGGACTGGACTGAGTAACAGAGAGAGACTGTTAGAAAGGACTCCCCAAGCAGAGAACATTGTGTAAAGGCAAAAAGAAATGCTTGGGGAGGCCACACACCTGACTGTGACCTTCTGAGGGGTTTCTCATGGAGCCTTTCTTAATGTTCACTCCGGAACTGTGCCAACTCTGCCAACAACTCTGCCAACAGCACCACTATGCTTGAAAGACACTCCTTTCAGAGTTACTCTCCATGGGATAGAATGACTTCATTTAAATTTTAATATATTTGAAGAAGACAGGGGCAATTAAAGTATCATATAGAAGCAAATATAAGTTCTTTTTTTAAAAGCTTAGCTTTTACAATTCTAAATTAAAAAAAAAAAAAGAAAGAAATCCCAAATCACTATTTTCCAGCCAAAAATAAAACTCTGAAAATGTAACTCAATTGTCTAACAGGCAGATGAGTAAGACCAACATTCAATCTTTAACAGCCATTTCTTTCCGTTAAAATTGCTTAGTTCTGAGCCCACTTTTGCTGAAGAAATACAAAACCCAGAGGTGGCCAACTCATCATTTGAGAGTTTCTGGCTTTGAATCTTTCAAAGCTTGTTGTGCCATGTAACTGTTCTGTTCATTTGGTGGCTCTATGATACCACGCATTCTACACAATGACACCTCTGTAACTTTACGAAAAGTACTATTCTGAACAAACTTTACTGCAAATAGTTCTGTCACTTTTATTCTCTGTATTTTATTTTCAAGAAAGCATTATTTTATCTTTAAAAACAAATTCGTTTGAAAAGTTGTATCTTGTGACGTGTCATTCTTTAAAACCGTCATTAAAGTTGAGTCTTTAAATGATGTCAGTGTTGAGTGCTGGTTGATGATTCTTCTATTCTATGGTCGTTAAGGGATCGTAAAAGGAAAGCTGATGTTGGCACACATATGTTCAAATAGTTTTCAACGGCACCTGCAAAATAGCACCCTCTCATTCTTTAAATCCTATATACTCTAGAAACTCTAAACTAACTCTTAAAAAGGCAGCAAGTTAGAACCACACAATCTGTTATAGTTAGTCACACTTAGGATAGCCTGACCCCAACACTTTTCCCTAAGTCAGCTTTACAGCTCACTGGACACTGTTTAATACGGCACCTTGCTTGTACTTAAAACTTGCCTCGACTCCTGCTTTACTTCAAGATTAAAGTTACCTCGTTCCCCACTCACTGCAAGTATAAAATATTTGGCTTTTTGTTCTAATACTGTACAGGTTGCTCATTTTCACAATCAGCAGTGGGTCTTTTTCTTCACCCTGTCCCTCCAAAGTACAGCAAGAGGAAAAGGATCAGATTAGGAAACCTTTTTGAAGATGTGCTTTCTTCTCCCTATAAAGTCTCTAAGACAATCTGCGAAGGCTCCCTCTGTTTCATAGCGCCTTCACAGCTTCACCCAGGGGCGTTTACTCTGCTTTCTAAAACACCAGCCTGAACGCTCAGAGAAAAATCATTAACAAAAGCCCCAAAAGACCATCTTCATAAGACCCAATTATGAGATAAATGGTCTTGACCATATGGCTTAACATGAATATGGCTAAATTATATATGAACTGCTCCCTGTTTTTCTTTATTAACAATGTGACCTGATTATAATTTTTTTTTTTTATTATTTTGACATCAAATCTGTGAAAAACAAGAGGACGCAAACATCTGCAGTTTTTCTTGAGACGCGGTTTCACTTCTTGCCTTCCGGCTTCTTGCCATCAGAGAGAAAGGTCTGACCTCAGACCTGCCCATGCGCTGTGCCAGAGGGGCCATCTTCAGAGCGCCTCTCCACCGGGCTCGCTCCAGTGACATTTCTTCCAGGACAAATGTAACAGACACAACACACGGAGGATTTCAGGGTGTTTTTTTTTTTTTGGTGGGTTTTTTTTTTCTTTTTTAAATAACTGTGTTTCTTGCTTCTCATTCATATTTTCTTTCCTTTTGAGTATATTGCACAATATTTTATTATTAAAAAAGGTTTTGTGGTCTCGGGCAGAAAGTTTCTCTCCTTCTCCCAGGAGGTGTTAATGCGTATTATTTTGTAAAAGAGGTAAGTGGTTGTCTGTGTGGCCGTCCTCAGAGGGAACCTGAGACAAAGCAGAGAAACGAGCAGAGCGTCACATCAGCCCTCCTTGCAGATCCTCCGAACGCAAGCGAATTCTTTTGGACAAATCTTTCTGGGCACCAAGAGCTACGAAGGCTACTAGAGAATGGCACTGTGGCCAGAGATCAGCACCATGCAGTCCCTGCTACTTACAGAATTGACGGGCTTAGAGGAGCCGAGTCGAAAACGACAGCAAATTATTTCAACTATAAATTTCCCAAATCCGTGTAACATACCTGTATAAACAATAAGTTTATATGCTTTTAATGGAATTATTTTCTCAATTGCTATGTAAAAAGATTAAAAAAAAAAACCCAATAAAAAAGGAATCAATTAAACAGAGAACAAAGGCAAGTTGCCGTTTTCACTTCCATGGTTAAAATAATTTAGTTAAATTTGAAAACAAATGCAGTTCTTTGCCGGATCACGAGGCCGTACGTGCCCTTGTCCGGTATTTTTAGCTTTCCTCACACACTCACACGTGTGAATCAGCCATGGACACTGACGCAGATTTAAACGAACCAGTGAAAAATAATTACACAAGGAAATTATTCATTTGTTCAACAAAATGTGATCCGGGGTGTGCCAGGCACCCGGCACTGCGTAACGCTGATGAGGAGCTGGAGTTGAAGGCGCTGTTGGATTGAACTCTCCCAGTTAGCAGCTCCTCACACTTCCTGAACACAATTCTGCAAGTGAGCTCTGAGCGGATTCCAGGATCCTGGGACAAACATTACCGGCTGAAAAATCTCTCTGCACTATGCAATGTATTGTAAGACATCAGTTTACTTACGATTCATGTAGAAGTACATTAACTACAAAGCTAAGTTTGCATTCACGTGTCCAGGAGTTTTTTTTCCTTAATCCTGTACACATGTGCATGTTGTGCATGCAACAGCGCTACTATTTCATTTTTACAGAGGAGTGAATAGTTTTGTGAAGAGTATGGAGACCCATCTAAGGTGGGCACCAAGCGACTGGCAGAAATTGGCTGTAGTGATATTTCTGCCTGGTAAGAGCAAACAACCTTTGCAGCTCACCATATAATCACCTTCAAATCCATAAACGCAGGAAAATTAGTTATGTGTAGTGGTGCATCAAAAAAATTTTGGAACTTTGGTATCAACAACAACAAAAACATTTCTCTAATACCAAACCCTCAGAACATGCATTTTTTTTGGGGGGGGGCCCTTTGAAGAGTCTTTAACACTTTTACAGATGAAAAACAAAAAGGAATTCCTGTTAACCTGTTGTTGAAAAGATTCCTCCAACAATCCCACAGAGTCTCACAAAGAACTGCCAGAATGGCATGTGCTCCTCCGTGACCGTCACCATGAGGGAGCTGAGATCATATTTCATGAATATTCCAGACACCCCGTGGCTGCCGGCAGCATGGTTGATGATGCGTTCCTACAGGGAAGCGAAAGGAGCAGGTCAGACAGCAACACTCAGCACAACGCCCCAGCGCCACAGTGGGAGAAGGCCATTCCCACGGAAGGCCACAGGCCAACCTCCGACCCGATTCTGCTCCACTCTGCTCTGCAATGATTCTGTATTTCTCATGTGATTTGCTTTTGAAACTACCCAAAGAGCAAAACTATTCTTTCCTACGTTCCCAAAAGGCTTACTCTACGTACCAATCTCCTGCATGTTCTAGAGCAGAAGGCCACAGTTGTGTGTTCCTTACTGGCCACATCTCTTCGTCAAGAATTCAAAAAACAACTGAATTCACTACTGTTATTGAAATTACCAGATTTCAAAACTAGTTCAATTCCTGTTGTTAATTTTGAACTACAGGATACAATACAGAAAGAAGATGTTTCCATTGATTAAAAAATATCAATGTTTGAACTACTGGTTCAGACTTCAAAGGACTTTTTAAGGGCATGAAACTAATATTGTAAATTTACCAAATAATGCACATCAAACAAATATTCTACTTCATTCTTCATTCTAGCTAGTTTATACCTCAAAAATCAACTTTGCAAACTTTATAATAATTACTATAACTTCAAACTGTAATATCACAGTGCACTATCATTTATGATCTACTTATTATGTTACATTAAACATTTTTTAAAATACACAGCATTTCAAAGTTCTTTCTCCTGTTATTATCACATAAGGCTCCATAAACTATTGATGGTTTCCAACAGTTACTTCAACCTCTGGGTTGCTCAATACCATGCTGAAGATGGACGCTGCAATGGAGATTGGGGCACCGCATGCAGCCAAAGACCGACAGTGGCTGTGCTGTTGACCTCAGAAGGTCAGCCCCGCTTGCTGCCCCTCGTCTTTACTTCTGCAGCTTGACGTCCCAGGCTGCTACCATGTCAAAGCACGGACTGTTCTCATACATGACTTTGCATTTGCCCCGCTGTGCTTCTGGAATCCATTCTAGAAGTGGGACCACTGGGCCAAAGGGCAAATGCTCGGGCCATTTTGCAGTCACTATTTACCTCCGTTCCACACACACTGTGGCATTGGCATCCCCATGGCAATGGGAGTGTGCCTGCTTCCCCCAAGGCCTAGGCAGCTGTGTGTGCTGCTTGTCGGGTGTTTGCCAAACTTCCAGGTGAGAAATGGTAGCTCCCCATCCCTACAGAAAATCTGGAAGGCACAATATGTACCTGTATGTATGTTACCTGGTGTCTGTGTATACACGTGCACACACATGCACATATACACACCTACACAGTTCCATGTACTCAGGGTTTTCCACTGAAACATTTGAAAGGTTATAGAAACATAACACATTCCCTCTAAAAAGAACACCAAATTTCAGAAGAATAAGGAAAAGTCTTTGACTATTGAGGTGGTCGTAAATTATAAGACTCTCAAACACATCTTCAGGGTCGGGCACTTGGTACAGCGCTTAAGACCCCAGGCAGGATGGCTGCCTCCCTGCTTTCCTTCAACTCCAGCTTCCCGCACACATGCACCCAAAGAAGTGCAGGCAGCGGCCGACGTGCCTGGTCCTCTGCTGAGCACCTGAGAGGCCCTGCCTGAGTTCTGGGCTCCTGACTTTGATCTTGCCCAGGACAAGCTGCCCTAAGCATTTCTCTGCTTTGCAAATAAATAAATTTAAAAGGCACTTAAAATTTGAATATTCATCATTCTTGCACACACAAAAAGAGATCATGACGCTAGAATAGATGCAAAATCTGCTAAATTGTCCAATTCCAAAACTCTGCTCCTCATTTCGGCATTTATGAGGCCAGTGTGTCCTGAGGTTACAGAATATGTCACGTGACCACAAAGCATTAACTTAAGAGGCAATACAGGCCTGTCCCAGCGCAGGCACGTGTGCTAGAGAATAACAGGAAATGAAGACCCCTGCTGCCGGATTAAAAACTGTTCATTGTAATGCATGAGAGAGCATGTTCTGAAGTTAAGATATTAAAATCAACATAGTATCTTCATTAAGTTTAACAGTTTTAAGTCCTAAAACATTTTAGATTTCTTTTCTAGAAAAATCTACTTTTCTTGCCCTAAAATATACTAATTATACTAATAAACTATTTCTACGAAATTATTAGCTTAACACGGAAGTAAGTTTTAAAATAAGTGAGGACACCAACTGAACAACCTTAGCTTGTGGTTAGGGGATTTTTAAGCTTCTAAAAGATTTCAAATAATTTTACCAGTTGGATTCAACTTACCCTTTCTGTTACAGAAAACTGGTGGGTGTCTGCTGAAATCTTATATGTATGTAGTTTTGTTGGCACAACTGTAATAAAATATTGGAACATCTGGTTGTCTAGAACAAAAATAAAATGTATTTTTTCATGAGCCCAACAGCAAAACTGCCAGAAAGTTTTTTCTCCATTAAGTAAATTTAACTGAAATACCATTTTATGTTACTTAATGGTCTAAGACACAACAACCAGCACATGTAATATACAAAGGAACATAAAAAGTTCATGATATTCAAAGGTAGGTTGTTATAAAAATTTTGCAATCTGTTTAATCTTTACACAAGATGCAATTTTCATGGACTGCTTGACAACCACTTGTATGCAGTGATTTCAAATGCTCTTTAGTCCAGGTCCTGACAACGCTATAGGAACACAGCACAGGATGGTCCATGCACTTGGCCCCTCCACTCTCACGGCCAGAGTACAAATGCTCCTGGATGGGATTTCTCTGCAAGATTTGGAGTATAACTAAGCTTGAAGATCTTTTCCTTCTCTCTCTCTTTTTTTAAAGATTTATTTATCTCTATTGGAAAGGCAGATTTAGAAAGAGACACAGAGAGAAAGATTTTCCAACCACTGGTTAAACTCTCCAAGTGGCTGCAGTGGCAGGAACTGAGCTGATCTAAAGCCAGGAACTTCTTCTGGGTTCTCCCATGTGGTGCAGGGTCCCAACGCTTTGGGCCGTCCTCCACTGCTTTCCCAGGCCACAAGCAGGGAGCTGGATGGGAAGTGGAGCAGCCAGGAACAGTGGCTATATGGGATCCCAGCACAGGCAAGGCAAAGATTTAGCCACTACGCTGCCACAGCAGGCCCAAGTTTGAAGATCTCAATGAGTAAATCAAGCATCTAATTGCTAAGTAATCCCTGCAGTATTTCAGCAGAGCTTCCAGAGGGAACAGCAGTTGCACACCGCAGATTCATTACACCATTTTTTTTTTTCCTTTTTGGAACTAGAGATCCAATAGAACAGGTATTAGGAACGAGAGCAGTATGCCATTTTACAGCTTTCACTAACACACTGACACCTCATATACAGAATCCGAAATATCTCTTAGTCTTTATCAATTTAGAATTATCTAGACTCAACGACGTTTGGAATAACTCACCTGTATTTACGAGAGTTCTTGTTCAAAAACTTTTTTTTCAAACGAGCACCTCTTAGCTAATATGTGATGCCCTGGTGTCAAATGAGTATATACTTATTGATTATAACTAAGATTTCACTGAATGAGGTTTATAATTCTCACAATCGTTGCTTTTCACACGTTTCTAAACTTGTAAAATCGTTTCCTTAAGTGAAGCATTCCCAGAAGACAAAATACTCATGAATGTAAATTAGCACTGTAAGTCACATCTTTTCTTTTTGAAGATTCAATGATTTTTAAAAAAATTTTCATTGGAAAGCCAGATATACAGAGAGGGGAAGAAACAGAGAGGAAGATCCGCTGACCTACTCCCCAAGCAGTCGCAATGGCTGGAGCTGAGCCAACCTGACGCCAGCAGCCAGGAGCCTCCTCCAGCTCTCCCACGCAGCTGAGAGTCCCAAGGCTTTGGGCCATCATCGACTGCCCTCCCAGGCCACAAGCAGGGAGGCGGATGGGAAATGGGGCTGCCAGGACACAAACAGGCACTGATACGGGATCCTGGCATGTACAAGGTGAGCACCCCAGCCAGTAGGCTACCACACCAGGCCCAAGTTACATATCTTTAATGTACAACACTACACTAAGAGTAAAGAACATTAATAAATATACTGAATTTAAGAAAATATTAAGCTTTTAATTATACTTTTATGAACTTAAAATTCCTGGTGGTTGCGAAAGCTTTAGAAGTTCTCAAAATGTCCAACAGGTAAGACACCAGACAAAATGAATTCTTACATAGAGAGAAAACAGAATCTTCAGAAGAATTGAAAACATACTGCTTATCATAAAACTGAGAAAATCATACTTGCAATTTTTACAAAAACTATTACTTTAAGTGGAGTGGATTATAAGAAAACATATAGAACAGGTAACTATGCTATAATGTGCTGCTTTTTAATCACGTAATACATTCTGAAATAACTCTAGGTTTCTTAGGTACAATTCTAGAGATTTCCAAAAGAGCAAACATGTATTTCCAAACTTTGAACTTAGAGAAGAAAAATTCTTACAAAGTTCAAGCCTTCTATCTTTATTCTTTCTTTGGTGAATGTGGAAAAGCGCAGTTATGATTTATTAAGTTTTCAGATACAAATTTTAAATTCGGTCCTTCCCCCAACTTATCATTAATTTGCGTTTTATGTTCGGGGGGTTACTTCATCTACTCACTGAACAAATTCTCTCCACGTGTATCTCATTCATCAACCACAGAACAATCCCCTTCACAAGCGAAGTGGGAAGATTACTGAAAATGTTCTAACATTAGAGTTGTAAAAACTATTTTCTACAATAGAAATCCCAGGACAAATTATTCAATACTTACGATCCACAGCAATTTTTTCTGTTCCATCTAAAGGATTAATAATCCCTGGAACAAGTTCTCCAAAAGACAAATGATCTATTCTGTGAGAAAAGTTGTAAGCTGAGAAGCAAAAAAAAACCAAAAGCAACTAAGTAGAGAAATCATTAATGAAAACTGTATCTTAATGATTGCTTTATATTCTTATCTGTCCTCAAATGAAAACACCCCAAATTTGCAAGCAGAATAATACACATTTAGCATATAGAAATTAAATCTACAATAGGCAAATTCTGATAAATTTCTGTTTCTTAAATTTTATAATTACATACAAATTAGCTTCTAACAAATAACATTACAGCTAATTCTGATAGCCATGAAAAATGTCTTTAGGTTATGTCATGATTCTGGTCATGATATAACATTAAGATTTTGTTGTGAGAACTGGGATGGTGTCCATATGGCAAACAACAAAACTGAGCACCAGCATTTGTAATACATACTATTGCTAACTGTGACCAAACTCATTGTTCCATAGAATTACTTGCTTTGTTCTTAACAACAGACTTAAAAATGTTTTGGAAGAATCATTATACCAGAATGAGTGGAATACTTTTTATGTAAGAGTATGTTTAAATTTATCTAGATATTGTAAATTTAAACAAATTCCACACATAGTCTCACTAGCCATACAAACTGGCAGAAGTATGTTCCATGTGTCACAAAGAACGCTTCCTGCCACAGTGGCTTGGGTGCTGACTGTTCCCATGAGCGCGTGTTATCTCCTTGGTGGCTCTGGTAAAAGGGGGTGGAACCTTCAGGAGGCGTGGCCAAATGAGAGCTCCTCAAGCAATCTGAGCTGTATCCTTGGAAAGTAATTTTTGGAGAATGGGCATACAACCTCACAGTGGTCCCCCCGGGGCCCTCGCTTCCAGGCTCAGGATGTGATGTTCCGTGGAGTCCTGGAGACTCTTGTGAAAGAGGGGCTCCCCGGGAGTGGGTCTGCAGGCCTCGCATCCTAAGCATGACTCACAGTAACACAGTCAGTCGGCCTGGGGTACCTCGCCCTAGTAACAAGCAGCTTCTGAGAAACCCAGGGGTCCAGGTCAGTACCTTCATCACCTCCTCTCACTGCATCTCTGTCTTCAGGAGAGCCCACCCTCGGGGCCCTGCCCTTGAAAAATGGTGCTTTTCTCAAAGACACCCTTGCTGAAGAACTACTTACAGTCATGATTGACGAGTGCTGCCAAGTGGGCATGGCCTCGGGGGTGTGGGATTGCCCTGAAAGAAGGGGAAAAGTATTACAGCAACAGCATTTGACTACGTCACCCGTTGCAGAAAGTGGCTCTTTGCGAAGTCCTACCATTCTTCTTGGTGTGAACTCACAGAACAACGTCCCTGTGATAGGCAGACCAGCCCGCTCAGCTCGGCAGGGCGGCCAGCGCCACGCTGGGAAGCTTAGGCTTTTTGCTTTCGTTTTTTGTCTCTTCCCAAGATCCAGACTGAAAATAGTGGTTGGTACCAAGTGTCACACTTAAAAATCTCCAAATTGGCCTTGAACTCAAAAGCACTGCAATGAAATTTGGCCACTAAGTTATCAAACTGCTGTGCGGTAGGGAAGGTCAGATTATCCAGCTATGATTTTCAGGAAAATATTCATGAAAAATGACTATATTTTCATACATGACAGAAAAGTCATCACTGATACCTACTGGTTCAAAACATAAAACAGCAGTCCATCTGCTGGTTCACGCTGTACATGACAACAATGGCCAGGGCCGGGCTGTTACAAAGCTGGGAGCTAGAAGGACTCCAGTGAAGAAACTGTTCTGAAAACTGGTGATGGGAGGCATGTTTGGTTGTCACAGTCACCGCAGGGGGAATGCACTGGCATCCAGGGAAATGAGGCATCCTACCAAAGCAATCCACGGTGACACACACAAATACATCTGTCCAGGGCTTTGGGGGCTCCTGAGCGCTCTGGGAGACATTTGCGTAATGTAAAACACCATTTATAATCGGAGTCTGGCACTAAACTCCACTTAGTTACACCAAGTGCCCGTTTCAATCCACACTTTGTTCACAGCATTACAAAGAGTCAGTTGTTCCCTATTTTGTATTTAAGAGGTAACATAAGATCTTTCCAAAGGTCGGTATTGAAACCAATGAATTTATTGCCAAAAAAAAGCAGGCTCACAGGACCTCCCCAAAACATGACTGGATCCAGGTAAAGAGGTAAAATTGAGAAAAGGGCCCCTGGCCACAAAAAAAGGCAACCAATACAGCAGCTCAGCCAATGTGTCAATGTTTCCCTCTTTGAGTTAGGATGCTATTCAGAGCCAAAAGCAAAATAAATTTTTCTAAATTTCTTTGAGGTAAGTAGGACTTGTTGCCTCTGTAACGTTAACAAACAAACAAACAACAACAAAGAAAACAAGACGCTAGCAGCAACAGAACAGGAATGGCTATAACGGGTTTTGGCAACATAACCAAAACAACAAAAGGTAAGTTTTAAGGAGAGAATGACAAGCAAGAAAAACACAAAAGCTTGACTGATCTGATCGTGTGGCACTGAGACATCATGCTGATGTCAAAGTCCGCAGGCACGCTCTTCCTGCCCTCTGCTCTCTGATGCCCTCACACAGAACATTTCTGAGGCCCTGCTCATGCTCCAAGGTTCTCTGCTGACTTGTGGGACTGTGCAGCACCCAGGTCTATCATCTATTTCCTTCACAATTTCAACACCTCTGTAATGACATCGTTATTAGTGAATTCACTGATCAAAGTTTAGATTCTTTTCAGCATGTTTAGATTGTAAGCACCAGGAGGACTGGATTTTTTTTTTTTTTTTGAGTTGTACCCTTAGTATCTAGTGTGGTATTGTAAACATGGTAATTATTTTAAAAAATCTTAAGACAATCTAGTACTATTTTGTTCAATTACAATACAGAACGAAGAAGGGGGGATGGAACCCATTTATTCATTTAGAACTTTATTGCCAAGCTTTTCTTACTTGACAGCTTCTGTAATGAATGTTGTTTTGAAAATAGGTGCTCTGCTTAACCTTAGGTATGGCTAAGTTCCAACTGCATCAAACTCTTATCTAGAATTAGCCAAGGAATACACTTGGAATTAGGACCACCACAAGGTTTGAGGCAAACAAAATCATAAAACTGTACTACAAGGCACAATTTCATGGACTGTCATAGCAACCCTTCCCTGGCTACTAAAACTTGACAAGTAGATTTCACTCCATGTACACTTCCACATCATTTAGTTAGATATGAAAAATAAGACATGAGTGCGTTAATGCTTTCGAATGGCTTTTAAAGTTAGTAATGTTCTCTGTACCGGGACTTACGCTCCAACACCAAACTCGTACACTGAACAGACAGATAACACTTTAAGCATTCCTTTCATAGTTTGCTATGTATTATCTGATTAACAAGGAATTTATTTTTAACCCAGAGTCAACTTGTTTCCAGTGTCTTCGGTGAGTGAAAAGAACATACTTGCCCACGGTTATGTGAAAATTCCCAGCGACTTTGTTGACATAGAGGTGACCATGAATTCTGCATGCGTCTGGAGACCTCAATGAGCCATCCTCCCTGTTGGATATGGCACAGAGATGCGTTATAATTTATCACTATCATCTTGGAGTGAAAAAAAATTGCACATAGAGGGAAAAACCATGAAGATCAATTTTTCAAATAATGTTCCAATGTCTAAAGCAGAAGAGCAGCTTCCTGAAGCCTACACAGTATTTAAAAAATCACATATCTATAAAAGAATTATATACCTATTACATATTTGTTTTGTACAAATCCAAAGTCCCACGGTTCTTCAAATCTAGTCAGAAGCCTAAAGCTAGTGGCAGAACAAAGATTGAAAGATTAATCCTATAAAGACATATTTTTTTCATCAACTACTAACACTGTAATGAGAAGGGAGCAAGTGTGATGTAGGGAAGTCTAAATTCAAATGATCATTTTATTGGTTGTAGCATTTCTGGATTAGCAGCGACTCTAATTACAAAGGAGAAAAAGTGAAAACAAAACCCCAAATGTCTATTCCAAAAGTATGTATCTTTGCAACAGTACGTGGAATCAGTTTGCTCTTAAAACTTATTTCAGTTTTCTACAGATGTGCACCCCACAGATGACCCAGCAAGTTAATTCAATGAAAATGAAACATTCATGATAATCCTCATCAAAATCACATGTTATTAACTTAAAAGACATCTGTTCGGCAGAGAATGCTTCCTGCTTTCTCTTGGTACAAAAAATGAGATCTAGGAAACGAAACATGGCACATTGGTGTCCGAGTGCGTTTGAAGCACACCCCTCACCTGGGTGGCAGTGCCGTTGATGGGCTTTTAAAAGCACTTTTAAAGATCACATCTTGAAGTGAATGCTCCTCCTGCAGCCTGCTCTGAATCAGCTGCAACATCCTAAGGGCAACAGAAACAAACAAGAGCTGCGTGAAACAGAAAAGGAGTCTCAAAAAGCTAACGGTACATTTTCAGAAAGCAACGGTGGACTAACATACACTCAGCATCACTGGATTTTATTCCAAAATTAAGGTGCAAGTTTTTGTTGACTCTAGCCTTGCAAGCAGGAAACATGAGGAAAGGTAGCCCCAAGCCCATGAACTAGGTCACCCTGGCCTCTGATTCTTGCAGTGGTGCTATGAACCGAAAACTAAAGTCTATAGACTACACAAACATAAGAACCTTTAACACGAAAGTAAAGTAAATATGAAAGGGCTTGGCATCCCACTGAAACAATAAAGTAGGAATTTTTTCCAAACTGACGTAGGTCACACAATAATTGTGTGCTACCCAAGTAGAAAATTGGTTAGACACGGCTATTTAAAGCAACACATCTCCCTTAAATGTAACTTTAGTGTGGAGTAAAAAGGAAATTAGATAGAAAAAGCAGAAGCTGAAAGGTTATCCAGGTTTGAACATAATAAAGAGGTCTGAGATCCTAAACATTTTAAAGTAGAATAGGGATCGAGAGAAAATCGAAGTCTTTCATTAAAGGTAGAGAAAGGTAAAGATGATTTTGGCATGTACATTATCCCAGGAGCTGTAGCCCCAGGTACCCCTAAGGCATCAGAGTGGTATCTGCAATGCTGGTATAGAAGAACATGATAAATTCGGAAATTTCAAAGCGCCAGATCTCATCTTCAGATTATACTTGAGCACTTGAAATTTGTGGATCCAATGCCAGCAGAAATTGAGTGTTTGACATTTTTGTGTGTGTCCTGTATCAGCAGAGTTTACCTGTTGGTACTGGCAACGGTCAGAGCTTCATGAATCCAAACTGTGTGCGCAAGAAGTAGACTTCTTGCCCTCGTACAACGTGAAGCAACGTAGAACATTCCAGTATGATGGAAAATGTCTAATATTTTCATAGTGAAAACAATCTGCATCACTTATGTAAATGTAAATCACTTATGTAGATGTAAATATTCACCTACAAAGAGCTTACCATACACAAAATAGACAGAATGTGATTTAGAGGTCTATGGGTCACAATGCCTTGTTCGTTTATTACCTTTGCCACTCTCTTTGCTGTGGTGAAAGATCAAATATTGCCTGAAATAAACCAAAACAGAATCACTGTCATTGTCAAAGAGTCTTCTTCTTATTTCCTTTGAACAAAACCACATTTATACTGTTGTTAAAAACAAAGATTACGATATACATTTAGACTTTTAAAGCCAACCTTGGGGAGTGAATCATCGGATGGAAGATCTTCCTCTCTGTCTCTTCCCGTCTTTGTATATCTGACTTTGTAAAAAATAAATAAATCTTAAAAGAAAAACATAGGTCCATCAGGTTTCTCACTTTCTCCCTTTAAAAACATCATTAAATAGTAACTAAATGTCAAAATAAATAGCAAAATTGAAATTACAACAGCATATTGCACGATCATGGTTTGGAAACCAGTAAAGTTAATAGGGTTAAGACTTCAATAGGGTGTGTTTAAAGAGAAGATTATTTTAAAGTAAACCTGAATTTGCTTTTTCAAATTAAAAATTCTTAAGTACTTTGTACACTAAGGACAAGAGAGTAATACTTACTCACACTGTTAAATGCTATAAGTATTACTGATGAAAAGTGTATGGATACAAATATATAAGTATATATTACAGAAGTCCTTTTAATTTGACTAACAACTGGAATAGATGGCAGAAACATCACATTTTGAAAATAGCTCATTATCCTGTCACAACTGTGTAACACGAACAGTCATTAGTCCCTTTTGCCTGCAACTTGGAATCCTAAAGATTAAAAAAGCAAAATGGATGCATCTCAGGAGATTACAAATCACCTGGAGGTATGAAATGCAGAAAAAAAGAATTCAAATTAGGTGGCACGGAGCAGTAGCCTAGTGGCTAAAATCCTCGCCTTGCACGTGCCGGGACCCCAGGTGATCACTGATTCACATCCTGGCTGCCCCACTTCCCTTCCAGCTCCCTGCCTGTGGCCTGGAAAAGCAGTAGAGAACAACCCAAAGTCTTGGGACCCTGCACCCACATGGGAAACTGGGAAGAAGCCCCTGGCTCCTGATTCTTGATTGGCTCAGTTCCAGCCATTGCTGCCACCTGGGGAGTGAACCAGCAGATAAATATCTTTGTCTCTCTTTCTCTCTGTAAATATGACTTTCCAACAAAAACAAATCTTTTTAAAAATGTATTTGGGATGTAGTAAGTGTGAAAAAAGAGGGCATACACCAGTCAGAACAGAGAGAAACCTAGAGAAACGATTTAAACACATTTTACAAGGCAAACGTATGACGGTACCACATAGACTTTGCAGTCCGCTACAAAGGAAAGTTCCAAGGAGAGTAAAAGTTAGGATGCAATCTGCATTATAATTTTAACTCCTAATCCCAGGGTGGAAACTTTAAAGAACATATGCAAGGCAACACACTACAGAGTCCAAATTTAGAAGGCCAACACAATTGTATTTCACAGGGCAGAAAAAGCTACGAGGGCAGAAGATGAAGAGACCGTCTGGGCGCACAGGCACACAGGATGTGGGCACAGGATGGCAGCAGGGCACCCTCCGGGACAGCTTCCACCTGAGGCACACCACAGGTGCGGGTTCAACTAGCTGCTCAGCACACACATTACGGCCTGTCCATAATGAGAGCACACCACAGGCGCCCTGCACAGAGCTAGGCCTCTCACTCAGAAGCGAAGTTCCCTACCGGAGTCTAGTCTGTCCGAAGAAATGCTGTCAGACCTGCTGGGCTGCCATGGCGGGCCACACGACCATCCCAGGCTGCGTGCGGACTCGATCTCTTCCAACCTCAGAAGCACAATCTGACTTAAAGAAACACACTTGGACTAAACTATATATTCTCTCCTTTCATCTAGGGCTATTGAAAACATCCTAGCAAATCAATGTAATCTGGTCAAGTTCAAAATGCACATATAATGTGAGAGATAATAATGATATTGAGAACTCTATGATATTCAACATCTTATAAGACCTTCAAAAGGAAAGATTTAAAGTACTGCTTTGAACGTTAAAGCAAGCAAAAAAGACCAAGAAAAAAAAACCTACATTATCAAAACCAGCAAAAACTAAGAGAGACCCACAAATGGCACCTTAGGATGAAAATTTGAATTTCAAAAATGAAAGAAAAAGCGTGAATTATATTACCTACAAAGGAAAGGATATAATTGGGTCTGAAGACAAGGAAGGAACGCCTGTAAGATTTTAGTTTGAAACACTGTAAAACAGACTTGAATCCTCAGCCAACCTTACATTGCCATGTGTGAGACAAAAGCAGTCACGAGGCCGTAACACAACACATTGTTGCCGAAGAAACGGGAAAAAACAAAGCCCTCTATTAAATCACTTGAAGAATAGGAAAGAAAGACAACACAATGAAGTATCATAGTTATTCTCAAAACCGTGTATGTGATAGCTTAATACACCGTAACCTGGCGTCCAAATTTACAAATGATTAAATCTCCTTTAATAAGGAGCCTGTAAAACCAGTATCTTTAGTGGGCAGCGGGGTCGCTCGCCTGTCTGCAGCATCACAATCCCATACGGATGCCAGTTCGAATCTTGGTCACTCCACTTCCAATCGAGCTCCCTGTGTTTAAGAAGGCAGTGGAGGACAACCCAAGTCTTTGGGTTCCTGTACTTCCACTGAAAACCTGGAAGAAGCTCCCAGCTCCAGGTTGTGGACTATCCCAGCTCCTGCCATTGTGGTGATTTGAGCAGTAGAGCAGCAGACAAAAGATCCCTTCCTCTCTGTCTCTGTAAATGTGTCTTTCAAATATAAAAGTAAATATTTTGTTAGAAAAATGTGTACTTCAGAAAGTGCTCTTATATTGTTACAAATTAAAGCCACAGTAATTGAGCCTGGTGTACTAGCCTAATGGTGAAAGTCCTTGCCTTGCCCGCACTAGGATCCTATATAGGCACCGGTTCTAATCCCAGCAGCCCCACTTTCCATCAAGCTCCCTGCCTGAGACCTGGGAAAGCAGTTGAGGATGGCCCAAAGCCTTGGGACGCTGCACCCATGTGGGAGACCTGGAGGAGGCTCCTGGCTTGTGGCTTCGGATTGGGACAGCTCTGGCTATTGCGGTTGCTTGGGGAGTGAACCATCTGATGGAAGATCTTCCTGCCCGTCTCTCCTCAACTCTGCAGATCTGACTTTCCAATAAAAATAAAATAAATCTTAAAAAAAAACAGTAATCAAAACTGGCCAGTTTTTCTTCCTTCCTTCTTCAACTTTACCCATTGTTACTCTTCCCCTATCCTAGGTAGTCTTTATTTCAGAATTCTGCTACTAGAAAAGTTGACAATGGTCAACAACAAACGAAATAACTCAACAACACATACATAAACATGAGTTCCACAACACCAAGTACCAACAGAGAGCGCATCGGGCATGCTTGCTTCCCAAAGTTTCTGTTAGGTTAATTCTGATCACGATGTGCTCTCACTCTCCCTCCCCCGTGAAATGCTCACATTGTCGGACAGACCGCTCCGTCAGATCTGACCCAGGATGCGAAGCCAACACAGGCGTATCAGCATCTAACAAGCTGTGGAGAATCAAGGCAGCACCAAGAGGACAAGCAGCCGATGCCAGCCGGAGTGCTCCTCGGAGGAGGAGGACCTGCTTTCACTAGTGATTGTCAGAACTACAGCTAGCTATTTCTCCTGATTTAAACGAGGGAGAAAACAGACACAAACGGGACACAAGTCTCTATGTCATTACAAGAAAAGGAGAACCTTTGATCCAAACAGCATTCAAAAGAAACACAGACCTTATTAGCAAGCATTAACAAAAAACATATAGTAAGTTACAAAACAGACCTGCAGGCTCAACGAGGTAGGTGTCCTATGGAGGCTTTTCATCACTGCCTCCCTGGCCCCTGCCTGACGTCTTCTCAAAGAGTATAGATTGTTTTCAAAGTCAAACTTGTACACAACATCAGTCCGGACCAAAACTAAGAGCAAATATGCACACTGTCTCCAAGGGAACAAGTCCTCAGAGCGTAAACCTCTGAAACCAGATGAATCAAACTTACCGGCTCGTACACGAGACCATCTGCAGACGCAACCATCGTTTCTGCTAAGTCCAACACATCTGCTCCAACATCTGCACAGAAACACAGGGAAGTGTCACACACCCCACAGCTACATCTAACAGAATCAAGGGCGTCAGCAGAAAACTGACAAAGTCTGCAGTATATCACCACCCAATATTTTTTTCCCTAAAATTCAAACAAAAACATAAGACTATACAAAAATTTAGCAAGGGTTTTTTTTTCTATTATTTATTCAGTAAACAAGAGGACTCAAAATTTCAGGGTAAAAAAGCATAAAATTCAGGGAATGTAATGGCTTTGTAGCAATTTGTAAATACGTAAGGATCAGTACTAAAGGCTGTTGAGCAAAATTAGTTACAAGAATACAAGTATTCTTGGGAAACTTACTGAAATCTTAAGGTAAATTAAGACCATTTAAAAAAATCACCAATAATTTTATTTTGAAAAAACCAAAATTCATATTAATTATACTGATTTAAGGACAGGAGTAAATCAATGAAACAGAAATAAAGTTTTAAAGAATATAAAGGAGAAAACGATGCTAAAATACAGCCAATGCTTTTATACTTTTATTTTCAACTGTTTAAATTACAAACAACATATAGATTCATCCAATTGAAGGTATACTTACATTGACACTTCATGGCCACAGTAATATCTATATTGATCCTTAATTTGCTACAAGACAAAAAAACTAAATATGAATACCAATCAATTAGTCAACAAAACATAAACAAATCAATAGATCTATCAAAATTTGGGTTTCAAACAGAATAAAACATGACAATTAGAACTTGGCCGGCAGAGCAGGCATCTGACATAATGTTTAAGACATAATGTTTAACCAGCCCATGTCCTGGCTCTGGTTGCCGCTAAGGAACATTCTAGGAAGCTGCAGGTGACAGTTCAAATTCCTGGTTTTCAAGTAACAGACGGAACAGACTCAGATCCCTGCCACCCATAGGAGAGACCCAGATGAAAGTTCCTGGCTCCTGGCTTCCGGTTGGCTCAGCCCTGGCTGGTGCAGGCGTCTGCAGAGTGAACCAGCAGGTGGAAATTCTCTTCTCTCCTCCTCTTTTTTTTTTTTTTAAAGATTGTTTGATTTATTATTGGAAAGTCGGATATACAGAGAGGAGGAGAGACAGAGGAAGATCTCCCATCCGATGATTCACCCCCCAAAGTGAGTGCAACAGCCAATGCTATGCCGATCCGAAGCCAGAATCCAGGAACTTCTTCTGGGTCTCCCACACGGGTACAGGGTCCCAAGGCATATGGGCCATCCTCAACTGCTTTCCCAGGCCACAAGCAGGGAGCTGGATGGAAAGTGGGGCTGCTGGGATTAGAACCGGCGCCCCTATGAGATCCTGGTGCGTTCAAGGCGAGGACTTTAGCCGCTAGACCACGCCGCCAGGCCCTCTCCTCCTCTTTTGCTCCTCTTCCTTTCCTGTCAGTCTGCCTTCTAAATACATTAAATTAAATATTTTTTTTTAAATAAGGCATTACACACTGCTATGTTTCATCTCATTTCAACAGGGACGTTAGATCTAAGAATCAAAGAAGCTAAGGGGACGGGGTCAACACCGAGACTTCTTTGGAGAAAATGAGAAACGTTTCACTGGTGCTAAAAGCTGAAACGCTAGAAGGACTCTTTGAAAACCACTGGCATTTAAAGGAACATGCATGTTCAAGATGAGCATCTGAGGTGCAAACCAAGGACGCTCTGCAGCTTGCCTAAGGCTCACAGCAATTTGCCAGTGCTGATTTATTTAATTATCCAAAGCCCCATGAGGAGGGCACTATGATAAAAATATCCATCTAGAGCATAAAGCCAGTAAATAAGTGGTAGTGAAAGTACTGGAACAGAGAACTCCTTATCTAGTGCAATCCTGATACTGTAACCCGTCATCTGCAACCCAACAAACAGTTCAAGATTAAAGGTTAAAAGTCACGCTACTCACATACAGAATTCACCTTTAATCCATGTAAATCGGATTATAAGTGTATGCAGTGTGACTTGAGACAATGTACTTATTGGTGCACACAGGTCAGTAAGATCTTTACAAGTCTGAGGAGTAATTTCTGCCATGGTTATCCTAATCTTTTTAAGTAATTGTAGATTAAATCAGGGAATTCCTGCTTTAGAATTTAACTAGAATTGTGGCCAGTGCCATGCCTCAACAGGCTACTCCTCCACCCTGCGGTAAAAGGAACACAACTGGGTGCTGCTTTGCATTCCGTCTGCTTCACTTTCAGTCCGGTTCTGTGCTGACGGCCTGGGAAAGCAGCAGAGGACGGCCCATCAGGGAGACCCAGTGAGGCTCTCGGCTCCAAGTTTCAGATCAACTCTGCTCTGACAACAGTGGCCATTTCAGGAGTGAACCAGTGAATGGAAGAATTTCTTCCTCTAACTCTCCTTCTCTTTGTAAATCTGCATTTCAAATAAAAATAATAATAAATATCTCTTCTCTTAAAAAAAGGATTTAACTAGAATGTTAAATAATTTAAAAACACTTCTTCTGAAATGCAATTACTAAAAATTAGTCAGGACTATTTCTACAGAGCTAAAATCAGCTAAAAGGCATGCTGTTAAACAACTGGACTGAAAGCATGTTTAAGAAAAAATTGAAAAGTAGTTACCTAGAAAAGTCCTTGTCTACTTCATATTCATACTTCATCCATGTATCCTGATACACTGAGAATTCCATTATTGTTAATAAAGCCATGGTGGTGAATGCTATAAGAGAAACTGAGAAATGCAACAGAGCAGAAAAACAACTCAAAACCAAAGCAAATCGCAGGAAATGCAGTAGGATTAAACTTAATTTTAGAAGCACCTAATATAAATGATATTTGAACAGTATAAATATCATATATATTACATAATATATATTTCCTGAATACAGTCAAAAATGAAGATGCAGCGAGCACACATTTATTTATAACACCAAGAAAGAAAACATTTCTTTAAAGTTACCTTTCATTAAGTTCTACTGGCCAAAATTTTACAAAGCGCAGAATTCCCACATAGTTATAGGAGTATATACTAACGTCAGGTATAGAATAAATGATGTGTGCAGTTACAGGCCAAATGTGCAAATATTCCCTTCATTATTAACAATGTACCCATGCCTGTCACCAAATTTAAAGCAAACAAATGAGCTAAGTTCTTGGATCTTAAGAAGTCAGAGCAAACTTGGGGCCAGCAGATTCAATAATTTAATAAATTTAATAACAGTGTTTTGAAATCTCCTAAATGTATCACCCCCATCTGCATGCTGAATGAGTGGTGTGACAACAATAAAGTTATGTCAGTTCACACAACTGAAGAGCCCTGAGGCAATAAGACAATTTGTTCACTGACAGCTTAATAAATAATGCTAAAAGCACAGTGGCTCCAGTTCGAATGGTACAGAAAATTAAAGTAAAAACAAGAACAATGCGTGACAGGAGGACACAGAGCAGTGGCAAGGTCCCTCTGCCGCTCCCCGCTGGCCCCCCAGGAGTCCCCCCAGAGCTGAGGCTCACCTGTGCCCCCCCTGGTCCCCCAGGAGTCCCCCCAGAGCTGAGGCTCACCTGTGCCCCCCCTGGTCCCCCAGGAGTCCCCCCAGAGCTGAGGCTCACCTGTGCCCCCGCTGGCCCCCAGGAGTCCCCCCAGAGCTGAGACTCACCTGTGCCCCCGCTGGCTGAGGTCTCCACATAGCTGTCAGGAACCTTGGGAAAGGCATCCAACTCCTTGACCAAACTTAAGGTTTTCTTTCGATTCAGGCGCCTCATCTTCAGGAACACCTTCCTTTTCTTTCATAAAGTCATGCTAAGAAACAGGTTATGAGTAAATGAATAAATCAATCCCCTAAAAGAGGTCAAGGGTTTCTTTTATCTTAAGATAAATGTCCTGAAACAACTTGTCATTCTCAACTCCCCTTGAAGGAGGGGAAAAAAATCGAAGACTTCCTCCCTTCCCTTCCTAGCCAAAACTACCAGTGACAGGCAGCTTACACACACCAACACGAAAGAGCCAAAGAAAAGGGAAAAGCAACTCAATCATATTCATAATATTGACACACAAATTACATTTAGAAATAACTATCTCCTATTACATTAGGAAATACGGTATGCAAAAACTATATATATTGCCAATAACGGTAATAAAGTACAATAGGCATACTCATATATTGCTAACAAGAACATAAATATTCATGCCTCTCCTTTTGACTATGTAAATTCTTCTTGAGAAATGTATCCTAAGGCAACAATTTGGATTATGAACAAAAATTAGCTTCCTTGGATAGTTCTCACTTTTTTTTTTTTTTTAATACTGAAAGAAAAAAACAAACACATGGTAATTTAACTGGTCTTAAGCTAACCACTGAAAATCTTATGAAAGAAACTATTTCATGCATAACTTAAAAATTCATGATCTGTTAAGATCAGAAAGCTTTAGGAGCTAAATTTTATGAGAAATGGGGAAATAATTTCAAGAAAAAATGAGATTTTTAATACTGGAAAAGTAGATCACAGAGAATTTTAACAGTGTTCTGATGTAATTTTAATTCCATAATTATATGTTTTATAATAAAATATTTTAGAAATCTACTGCTCTTTTGACTTTTATGAGTATCACAATAACATTTAAAACATATTATAAAAAGAACAGATGGTGATGAAATTCTCCAATAGTTGCATATTTTCACAAAACGAACTCATAAGACTGGAGATGATATTATGAAGAATTCCCAGAAACAAAAGTGTGTTAATAAAGGCAACACGCAGCAGCAGAAATCCCCACAGGGAACAGATCACAAGAAGCACACAGATCATTAGTCCAACATCTACAGGACAGGCTCGCCATGGAAAAGGCAGGGAGGCTGGAAGCATCAGAGGAGCGAAACCCGGTGCTGACCACAGTGCTGTGCAGAGGCGGCCCTGGCCAGGGACCTGCTAATCAGTCCACCAGGGAGTTAGCGCTCCAAAGCTGAGCTGAGCCTGTCAACAGCCTGGTTTCACTGCGATTACAACTTGCAGCCTGTCTGGCTGACTCCATGGTTTCAAAGTGATCTGCAGGTACGATTCTGCCTAGCGCATACACAGCTTCCTTGACACTCTCGGAAAGTCATTCATAACCTCAGCGCTAAGTCTCATGGCTCCCGCTCCGTGGCTACTTCATCATGGACAAAACATGATCACTTTTCGCTGAGTGCAAATGGTACCACAGTCCTGATTTGTACTACGTTTTTAAGAATCTCTTGCCTAACTTTCAGTTTAATGTTTCACTGTTTCTGTCCTAGGCCCTCTTCCCAAATCTACCCTTTCCCTGACGTGATCCCCTATCCTTCAAGTTTTACGTAAACATTGATTCTTGCCAAATGCTTCTGCAAACACATGCGTCTGCCCTAGCTTTCTTTTAAGCGTTTCATTTGGACATTCCAAAGATAGACGCAACAAGTCGTAGAAGGAGTATTTCAGCCCATCAAAATTATTCTTTGTCCTACACCCTAATCTTGGTTATTAACACCATGCACTCGAATTTACAGACCAGAAACATGGTTTACAACCTTAAACTCTACCTCAATTTCTCTAAAATGTGTCATCTCCTGTTTAAGTCCATCAATAAGTTCCTCACTGACGCTCCTGATCCAAACGCCAATCTCTCCTGCACTGCTTGCAGTATCCTGGTCTCAATGCCACACCACATACTCACACTGTTTCCACAACCTCTGCTCCTTCGACCCTGATGTCACTCTGCCTTCAGCAGCATGCAGTCTCATGGCATTCCCTACGCTCCGAACAGTGAGGCTGCGCTAAGTCTGCCCTCCATCAAAGACCCAGAGCTGTTTATCCTCTCTCCACACGCCGTTCTCTAGCAGTCTAAGTCCAAATCACATCACTTTCGATTCCTCAATTATGCGTTTGATATTCTCAGAAATATTCTTTCTCCCCTTTCTCCCTTCTGCTTTTCAATGCCAGTCTACCTGCCTTTCACTTGTGCTCTTAAAACATCACAGCTTTATCTGACTGTTCACTGTCCTTCCTCCCTCGCCACCTTCGGCTTGCTCCACTGCAGCGTTAAGACAGGCACCTTGTCTAACTTGATCTTTGCATCCCTAATGCCTGGCATAGCAAGCATTCAAGAGCAAGCGTTGTTGAGTTCATGAACAAAGAGTGAATTCAACTTCCAGAACTGGCGATATTTTTATAATAAGCTTTATAAATACTTTAAGCAACACATAAGGATACTACTGACCCCCTACATGTGCAACCCAAACAAAACACTTGGCAACTACGCCACCTCTCATTTCCTCCCTCCCTCCCCGCTTTCCCTGACCATCACTCTGCTGTTCCTCCCACCTCTCTTAAAGGCAGGACCATTTTACCTCCCAGAAATCCATTCCACTTCCAGCACTTGCTATGTGACTCTAACAAGTCACTGCTTTGACATGAAGAAGTTATCCCACAGCACAGCTTCTCTGGAGGCAAACATACCTGTTCCTGTTTCAGTTCCCCTCCAATGCTCATACTGCTGACACTTTCAGGATAAAATAGGATCATGTCTGATCATATTGCCCGACTTCTTTGTCCCATTGAAATCTATTCCTTCTCCAAGTAACAGTGAACCCATACATATATGCACAGAATCGTAGCGCGTGTTCATACTTCATACAAATAAACTTTTGATGCTCTGATTTTGAAGTACATACAATTTTCCACTTTACAGAGGAGGAAATGAGGCGCAAAATAAATAACTGTGGCAGTGACACACAGCAGGTGGCGGAAGTTGGAGTGAATCCCAGGCAGCTTGGCTCTGTCTGCTGCACCCGCAGTGAACCGCGGCTCACTAGCCTCCTTGTTGCCATCCTGCACCAGCATCTACGCAGCTTCCTCAAAGACTTCGGCACAGGGGTCACCAGCGCTTCACTTCTTCCACAGTTCATTGTGATCCTTCAGAATTCATGATCCTACGTCATTCACTCAAAGCCCCTCACCTAAAGCCACTGACCACAGAAGTGTTTAAATTCTTCCATTCCAGCGACCTCCTTCTTAATTCTAGGCAAGCCTACCTACAAACCCGCAAGGCAGCAAAGTCAGGTTTCGCCTGGCCTCATGCCTAGAACCGTTCCACCTTTTCATGTTTTCTGAGTGGAACTCCCTGTCCGTCAAGCTCCCCAACGTGCTAAGACAGCTGTTGGCATCTTTTTTCATGGATGTTCTGAGGCCCTTGCACTCTTCTCAGTTGCCTGCTTCCACGGTCAGCTTGCCATCCTCTCCAGCTTGGTTAGTCATTTTCAAGAAAGCACGTAGAAACACCCTAGATCTACCGTGGGTATAAGATCAGATGCTTCTGAGACATCTGGGATCTATTTTAGAATGTCTGGTTTCCAATCTTTGCCGTACTCCTGATTTCAGCCTTCTGAACACTCGGGGAGGCAGGAGGCAATGGCGCTCGCTTGGACTTGAGTCCCTGCCACTTCACTGGAAGCAGTCAATTGATCTTTATTGACAGAGTGAATCTGCAGATGAGAATGATCTGTTTGTTTCTCAAATTTAATATTTCTTGTAAAAGATCAATGCTTCCAAGAAATCAGTGTCAATTTAATTTGTGGGGTTATGTATTCTAAAGGCTGAGAAACAGAACACCTCCACAGACATCCCCATATGTGGAGTCTGGAGCACAACCCATTCTCCATGTGCCCGGTGGGGGTCCAACCACTGAGGTCACTGCTGCTGCCGCCGCCCAGGTTTGCATTTGCAGGCAGCAGGGGTCCGGACTTGGAGCTGGGGGCTGGCTGAGGCACCCCAACACATCTTAACCACAGGGCCACCTGTTGGCCCTCTGTACTCAACTGAATATCATGGGAAAGCCCCTAACCGAACGGGTTGGGGAGGCGCGGAGGGGAAAGAAAAGACAGTTTTAAAAGCTAAACTTCCTCACTTGCACAATATGTCCTTTACTTGGGATTACCTGCTTTTGTTTTGTGAGTTAACGTGTCCTTTATATAAAATTCCTTTCCCAAAACAACAGGGTCTGCTTTTGGATGCCCTTATTTAGCCAAAATCAAAACTGTAGGTGTATTTCAGCAATCGAGGCTGGCCCTTTCCTGTTTCCCTCCCCTCCCCCCTTCTTCTCCTGTAGGTATCTTTCTCATACTGATCCGTAAAGTTCAAAACTTTAGGAACCACTGCACTGCTCTGCCCGCTTGTTGGCGCTGCTCTCCGTAACCTCACGACCTGCTGTGCCACAGCTGCTGTCCTCCATGTAAGCTCTACCATGTCTTAAAAAAAAAAAAAAAAACTGCAAAAAGTCGCTGATGACAGTTACTACTGAAACACTACTTTGAAAATCTGTGTAAGAAGCACTTCTTGCACACTGTAACACAGATGGCCCTCACTAACATGCCGTGTAAGCACTCCCATACAGCCTGCACGTCACCACTGTACTCAGCCGGATGTAATGAGAACACCAGATGGTCTGCGCAAATTAAAATCCAGAATGCATGAAACTTTATATCCGCGCAGTTTTGTTGAATTACTTCTTCCACCAAAAATAGCAACAAACTTTATGTCTCGTGACTCAAACGTATGAGTTCAACTCTACTTTTAACGTATAGTTGGCAATATGAGAAACACTGGTGTGGTTCATGCATACGGCCACACTATGCTATGGTCTATGCCGACCCCCTCCCCCCTCCAAAAAACTAGGAAGCCAGAACTCCTCCTAACTGTGAATGTGGTTTATTTGAAATATTTAGGACTTTAAAGATGAAATTCCTTAAACTTCACTGGTTTGGGGTGAAACTATAGCCAGTGTGTTGATAAGAAAGAGGGACCCACACAAAGGGGCGGGCATCTCCCCAGACATTACAGAGGGGAAGCCATTCCCTCCGAGAGCCCGCAGAGGGTCCAGAACTCCGCCAGCACGCTCGTGTTTGGACTTCAGCCTCCAGACCAGTTTCGATTTCTTCAACACCTTCCAGGTTATGGTAGCTTGCTATGGCAAGCTCAGGAAACTGATATTAGTAATTCATAATGAGAGAAGACACAAAGCAAATATTCGGAACTTTAGAAGTACAAAGCAAAATTACAACATACCCATTTTTTTTGGTAAAGATTTATTTATTTTTATTGGAAAGTCAGATATACAGAGAGGAAGATCCTATGTCCGACTGATTCACTCCCCAAGCAGCCGCAATGGGAGCTGAGCTTATCTGAAGCCAGGAGTCAGGAGCATCTTCCGGGTCTCCCACGTGGGTGCAGGGTCCCCGGCCTTTCGGCTATCCTCTACCCCTTTCCCAGGCCACAAGCAAGGAGCTGGATGGGAAGCAGGGATGCCGGGATTAGAACCCATATGGGATCCTGGCGCATGAAAGCTGAGGACTCTCGCTGCTAGGCTACTGCACCAGGCCCAACATAACCCATTTAAAAACAATTATGTTGTATTAAAATAAAGGAATTTGGCCCGGAGTGATGGCTCAGTGGGTAAATCCTCACCCAGCAAGTGCAGGAATCACACCTGGGTGCTGGTTCCTGTCGTGGCTGTTCCACCTCCCACCCAGCTCCCTGCTTGTGGCCTGAGAAGCAGCCGAGGATGGCCCACAGCCTAGGGAGCATACACCTGCATGGGGAACCCAGAAGCCTCTGGCTCTCAGTTTCAGATTAGCTCAGCTTTGGCTTCTGTGGCCACTTGGGGGAGTGCACCAGCAGACAGAAGATCTTACTCTGCCTTTCCTCTCTGTAAATCTACCTTTCCACTTCAAATAAATAACTCTTAAAAAAAAATATGCATTATGGCATAATGGGTAAAGCTGCTACTTGCAATGCTGGCACCTCAGCTGGGCTGCCAAGTAGTTTAAGCTTTAACCAATGCAAGCCCTCAGCACTCCACCTCGAAGGCCTCTCTGGTAATGGCTTGGGAAATGCAGAGGAGACACCCACGCACCTGAACCCCTGCACTCACGGCAGAGCGGATTGGGCTCCCGCAGGAGACACAGCGTCTCCCTGCACCGCTTTCCCAGGCAGCCGCTTTCCCAGGCAGCCGCTTCAGAAGCAGGGCGGCTGGAGCTCCAGCTGGTGCCAGAATGCGATGCTGAGCCAGTGGCTTTACATTCTACACCACAGCGCCAGCTCCCCAAAGCAGACAAACCTTTAAAAAAGGATCATACTTTACAATAGAAAGCATTTGAAAAAATAGCTTTATGTCACTTTGCAAGCACTAGTCATTCTGCACCCACAAAGTACTTACTATGCTTTACTTTATAAATGACTACAAATTCTTAATTATCCTAAATTAGTAAATGTTTTAAATTTTGTTTGCTTTAATATAATTTAAATGAATCATCATAAAGTCAAATGATAGAGTTTATTTAGGAGCCAAGTAAGAAGTAAAAATGTGGACCCGGTGTGGTAGCCTAGTGGCTAAAGTCCTTGCCTTGCGTGTACCAGGATCCCATATGGGCAGCAGTTCTAACCCCGGCGGCCCTGCCTCCAATCCAGCTCCCTGCTTGTGGCCTGGGAAAGCAGTTGGGGACGGCCCAAAGCCTTGGTACCGTGTACCTGTGTGGGAGACCTGGAGGAAGAGGCTCTGGGCTCCTGGCTTCGGATTGGCTCAACCTCCAGCTGTTGTGGCCACTTGGGAAGTGAAATCAGTGGACAGAAGATCTTCTTCTCTGTATATCTGACTTTCCAATAAAAAATTAATTTAAAAAGTAACCATCATTTAAGAGGTTAAAACATAAGAAACCCGGACTTGCCTCAGCATTTACTGGGCGCAGGACCAATCTGCAAAATCTTCAACCTCTCGGGTCTCCCTTGACAATTTCCAAAAAGGAAAGCCAGGAGACAACGGCTACCTCCGTTTTTAAAAAGCTTTATATTTTTCGAAAGAGAGAAACGGAGACTCTCCCAGTGATGGGCACAGAGTTGGGCCAGGACAAAGCCAGGAAATCCACCTTGGTATCCCACATGGCCAGCCCAGGTTCATGTAGCACTGCCTCCCAGGGCCCCTGAGCAGCGGGCTGGAAGGCAAGCAGGGCAGCCAGGACTTGCCTGAGTCAACATTTCAATATGGGATTCAGGTATTTGCAAGTACTAAGTTGCCCATTGTGCCATAACACAGGTCTCCATCTCGTAGTTTTTGATCAAGATAAAAGTCAGGCATAAATGTTGCTAATTCTCTGAAGAAATACAAAGATTCACAGGATATTTGAGATGCAGTTGTTAATCTCTTTTAAAAAAAGATTTACTTTTATTTGACAGTCAGACATCCAGAGAGGAGGAGAGACAGAAAGAAATATCTTCCATCCGATGATTCACACCACAAGTGGCCACAACGGCCGGAGTAGAGCCGATCAGAAAGCAGGAGCCCGAGGCCTCCAGGTCTCCCACATGGTTGCAGGGTCCCACGGCCTTGGGCAGTCCTCGACTGCTTTCCCAGGCCACAAGCAGGGAGCTGGATGGCCAGTGGGGCCGCTGGGATTAGAACCAGTGACCATTAGGGATCCTGGCGCTTTCAAGGCGAGGACTTCAGCTGCTAGGCCACTATGCTGGGCCCAGTTGTTGATCTCTTAAAGGAAAGTGGAGAATCTCATAGAGTAGGGATGAAATCAACTGAACGTGGATACCAGCTACCTGGAAGTTCCTTACCACAGTTTGAGGCGTGGCAAAGGAGAGCATGTCCTCCCTCAAGAAGTGTCCTGTACAGTAGCTGCTCAACACAAACAGAAGAAACACGTAGGGAAAACGTGAAGCAAACAGGAAATACACGTTCCACAGAACGGACATCTGAAAAGGAGCGCAAGCTGACAAATGACCGGATGGACAAAACGGGCAAGCAGTGCGGGCCTTGGAAGCTAAAACCACAGCTTAAGAAAGCAAGCAACTGAAAAAGATGGGATTGAAGAACGTTTACGTGCACCAACCAAGGTTTCAACGCACTGAGGTCAGACCAAAGGGATTTTTAAGTGTATTTTCTCCAGTCTGTATTCTGACTAAGCAGTGGAGCAACTCTGGGAAACGCACAAACTGGGAAATGAAAATTGAAAAGAAAAAAAGGAAACGGAGCTAAAAGGCAGCCCTGGTGAGAGACACTGGCATGTGCCTTGCTGGAGCATATGTGAAGCGCACAGAGGGCCCTGGCGTGGGGATTACAGAATTATCACTGTTCTCATTTTACAAATGGAGGCACTAAGGCATGGAAACGGTGCAATTAGTAGTTACTACGCTATTCAAGGAGTCAGTGTAAACACATGGAAACTGTTCCGTAGGGTTCGCAGAAGGCGCACATCCCCGGAAAGTAACTTCTACCACAAATCACCTTCTCCATTTTTTTTTTTTTTTTTGAGTTAAGTCACTAACACTCAGAGATCTGGTAAGGTTCGTTACATCTTTGTGACCTGACTTCCTTTGACAAATCTTTCTCACTTCATAGGTTTTACTTGCTGTGTTCCACGGGAGTCTTTATAGGTCTCGGTTTTGAAATAAAGTTTACCATCAAAAGGAACAAAACTCCCCCCCACTCTTTCTAGCCCTGAAACGGCCTCGTGTTTTTCCGCTAAGAGAACCGGAAGACCAAGAAGTCAATTTCTTAAATAATCGTAAATCCTTAGACAACAAATGAGACCCACCTTTCCAAAACCTGCATAGATTAAGAGCTCAACGTTTCAGGCTAAGGGGCTGAAATACTTGATTACAACTTTACGCATGAACTATGGCTGTTTTTAATTGTATCTCCCACAGTTTCTAAAAAGCAGCCTCGTAACACTGTAACACCTCGCCGGGACTCCTGAACCCCAAAGTTCTCGTCCTGGCCCATGAACACCCGGGTCCTCCGGCCAGCACCCTGCCCCGATGGACCGTCCCCCAAGTCGCAAAGTCCGGGAGGGAGGCCGAACCCTTCTTTCCTAGAGAGCTCTAGCCGAGCCAAGTCCGACACCGGATCAGGGGGACCGGGAGAAACCAGGGCTCCCAGCCGCTGTCCCCTCCCCACCTCACCCCCGAGGACACCCCGCCACGCCTTCGCGTGTCAGGCCAGCGCGACGGAGTGGACACGAGCAGCGCTGCCCAGGGTCCTGCCAGCAACGCCCCCGGCCAGAGGATGCCCAGGGCGCCTCCCTCGGGGGGTCGGGGAGCCCCGAGATCGGCACGCTCGGTGCATACCAGGCGCTCAGCCTCCGGCTCTGCGTCCCCGCCCGCCGTCCTGGGACAACCGCGGGATCCGCACCCAGCGGGGCGCTCCGGGGCTTTTACCTTGTGCTACGGTCCCAGCCGATCGCCATATTTCACACAAGCCCGGGTCGCCGGACTCCGGTGTTGCCAGAACTATCGCGAGAACCAAGAGCTACTATCACCTCTGGAAACGTCAGAAGGGAGTCCGAGGAGAGTTCTCGCGAGATCCCCGTGGTTTCTGAAGGGCTGGCTTTCCCCAGCCCGCGGGGCGTGGTCACTGGCAAGGGGGCATGTCCTCACAGAGCGCCTCAGGTCTGAGAGGGGTGGAATCCTCCTCGTGGGGACCGGGAGCCCCCGGCCAGCCTCGAACCCCCGGCAGCGTGTCACCGCCGCCGAGGGTCACACGCTCCCAACAAGAACCTCCAAACTTCCCTTTGCAGGCATAGGTAACGGTTTCAGTGGTTATCGAACGTTTCTATCGTCTTCCAGAACACCCATCCGTAAGAAAGCGCGTCTACCATTGTGTTTCTCTGGAACCCGAAGTCAAGATTCCTACACTCGCGGGGCTCGGCTTCTCCCAGGTTCTCAGCTGCCCCACCTACTGGCCACTCCGTGTCCCCCCTCAGTTCTCAGCTGCTCCCTGCTGCTCACTCTGGGTCTCCCGGTACTCACCTGCCCCATTCGTCATGCCATGACACCCCCAGGTCCCTCCTCCCCACCCTGGTCACACTGGGTCCCTTTTTACCAGTTGCTTTGTCCTCCACATTTCCCCCGTCAGAACTCACATCTTTGAGCCTGGCTTCCTCGGAGTCTTTTGTTAGGTGTCCTTTTCATCACAGTTGCTTCGCTGTTTAGACTATTGGAACTTCTCAACAGCATCCAGGCTTCTGTTTTTCTCACCTCGCTTTGCCCACTATGACCCCATCTGTGATCAGACTTTACAAACATTGAGGGTCAAACTATTATTGAGCATAAAAGCCTGACAAAAGTATAGGTGTGACTGATTCTTGTACAGTCAGCACTGTTTTTCAATGTATTCTCTACCTTCCAATTTCCTCATGATTTCATATTGTAACAACCAGTTTAAAAAGGAATAAGACTTAAGGGGTAGGTCATATGTGGCAGCTGTGTGACTTTGGGCACCTCACACAAAATCTGCAAAAGACAGGGAAATCCTGCTAGTGATAGTAATAATTTAAAAATTATTAAAGTGCAATTGTCCTCCCAAATGAGGGCAGATCGAGTTTCCACTGATGTAACTTCATTTCCAGACGTCCCTGGCTGTCCACTTAAACAGAGTTACAATGCCGCGTCCTGGGGTGGGGACTTGGTGTAGCGGAAGACACCACGCTCATCAGGCAGTGGGTCAGCCTGGGTGCCAATCCCGGCCCTGCCCAGACGCTGCCTTGGTGCTGACGCACACACTGGAAAGAAGCGTGTGATGGCTCGGGTAGCTGCGTCCCTGCTAACCCTGTCGGAGACCCTGATAGATGCTTGGTTCCTGGTTAAACGTGGTCCAGCCATGGATGTTGCTCACTCCAAGGGACACCTCTTTCATGCACGCATACTTTCTGCTCTCTCCCACATAAATATACAACCAGCAAAAGCAGAGTTACTACTTCCTTCACGCACCTGAGCAGCTCAGTGCAGTGGAGAGCTCATGGATGCTGCCGGCTGCAGTCACAGCTCAGCAACCTGCTGAGCGTTGGGCCTAGCATCGTGTACACTCTGTTTGCATCCGCGTCTCCTTACATGTGAAATAGTGGTAAGTGAACGCTGGTGGAAGGCCATGGCCCCTCACTGAGCGCTGCACCATGCCCAGGAGACCAGACAGGCGTGGACATTCATCCCATCCACAGAGCTTGGCTTTAGAATGCCTTGTAGCCAATTAACGGATTCAGCTGAACAGTTAAGCTGAAACCAATTGACTGATTGACTAGGCTGTAGCAGTTGAAGTGTTTGCTGGGATTCACTGCCGGGTTACTGTAAAAACTGTGAGACCATGTTGGTCAGAGTTGTTAAAGGTTCTTGTAGCTTCCTCGTTCACGAGCCATTTATATTTTAGCTTGTCCTAGTAAGTACTTCTTTTTGTCGTGGTTCTGGTAAGTTCTAAGGTGTAATGGCTTTTCCATCTAAAGGAGTTTCCTTCATTCTAAAGTAGTCAGCGGTAAGGAAGCTGAAGTGCAGCGACGTGCCTTGCCTCCACTCCCCACCCGCCACCATCTTCAGGTAAGGAAATTCCGGTACTTGTTGCACTGGTTGGTAATGTTGGACTGGTTGTGCTCCCTGTTTTTTAGTTCTTTCTGGTGATTGTGAGCTGTTCCTCCCACAGCTTTGTGCTTTGGGCTTTCCTGAGGCTGGCTGGTTTTTGTCCAGACAGAAGCTAGATGGGGCCTGGAGGGAAGGCTCAGGTCAATACTGAAGCGGGTTCAGTAGGAACAGGGGTGGCTCCGGGAGGGCGGCCTTGGGTGCTGCACAGTGCCTGGAGCGCTCTGAGGTGCTGGCCATCAGGATTACAGTTTGCTAGCGGACCTTGGTGTGTACCAAGGGTCACTCTGGGCTACGAGAGGGCATCTGACCTTTGGGAGCTTGTGGTGGCTGCCTTGGGCACACAAGTTGAGTCTAGGGTGCTGTGACTGAAACTTAACAACGTCAGGGCGAAGCATTCAGACACTGCTTTTCTTCGAGATGTGGAAAAAATGGGAAATGCAGTACTCACAATGAGAAAATCTTACTTTGAATAAAATAGTGGATTTGTGAGGTGCACTGGAAAAGGAAGGCTTAAAAATGACAGACACGATAGGAGATATGTCTTAAAAGTCACAGAAGCTTTTAAAGGACAAAAGTGGAGTTATCTTGGAAGTCGAGCTGTTCAAGCGGTGAGGCCCGCTTCTCCAGCCACCTTTGTGCCTTGATCAGTCGTAAACTTTGAACACAACGTAAGGTCAGCTAGTCCAGCTTGGAAGGAGCGGTTAGCCTGCTCCGTAATGGCCTCCAGCCTGAGCTGGAGTTACTGCATGAAGGAGACAGGCTGTGCTGGGCAGCTGTCTGGGTTTAATCATTTTGAAACCTGTCTTTAGTGAAGAGAATTTACATCTGTGTAGAGACTGCCCATAATGGAGGCGGCTCTCTCTGGACACCAGGAAGAGGAAGTCTTAGGCGGCAAAGCAAGTTTTGTTTTTGTTTTTTTAAACATAGGTTTTCTTTGCAAAGAGGTTAAGAGTAAGGAACAGCACAACTTGAACGTGGGGTTGAGACATGCACTCCGCTCTAGTACAAGTCTCAGACTTGGTTGATTGGTTGCCTCTTGGTCCTTTCATTGTCAGCAGTGTGTTCTCTGGGGACTTTTGACAGTGAAAAAGTGGGCGTCCGTGAGTCTGGGGTGACAGGCAGGTGGTAGTTACTTTCTGCCCAGGATATGAATGCTTCACAAACCCTCAAGACAGAGGCTTGATTTCATAATTATTTCTAAGATCTTCTAAGAATTGAGCATCGATATTAAGGGTATAACCATATAAAATGTAGTTAGGTTATCACGTGTTTTCTTAGAGAATTGTCTGCTCTTCCAGAACTTTGGGGAAGGCACTAGCATCTGTGGAGGTGCTGGTTACAGAGTTAGGCCCCGTCTTGAATGGGCAGGTTCCACTGCTGCCTCTGCCTCTGCTCCCGGCACCAGCCCCAGTTGTTTATCTTTGACGTTCTGTTGACTTTTATTTGCTGGTGCCTTGTTGAAGATAGTTGAGCCTGTTCAACAGGAAGATTGTTGTTTACTGTGTTTGGATTTTAGTTTCTTTGTGGCTTTGGTATCCTTGTGTTGTTTTAATGTTGCAATAATGTTGATGTACAGAATGGGTTTATAAAGGTTCCCAGCTTTGAATTTTTGGCTATAATCTAATTTTTTTTCTTTCTAACGTCTGGTAGAAATGTGTCGCCAGGTCATATTAGTTTGCCAGGTCATATTCATTAGTTTGCTTTGTTGAAGACCTCGAATTGTTCAGTTGCATTCTTCATGATGGACATGTGCAGCATTTCCGTGGCAGGTTGTTGTGTGCAGAAATTTATTCTTTTCTTCTAGGTTTTCAAATTATTGGCATACTTTTATTTATCACAATCCTTAATGATTCTTTACATTTCTCTATCAATTGTAAAATCTCCTTTTCTATCTTGTTTTTTTTTTTAAGGTTTATTTATTTTTATTGGAAAGGCAAATATGTAGAGAGGAGAAGAGACAGAGAAGAAGAACTTTCGTCCTGTGGTTCACTCCCCAAGCGGCCGCCACAGCTGGAGCTGAAGCAATCCAAACCCAGGAGCCTGGAGCTTATTGCAGGTTCCCAGGCGGGTGCAGGGTCTCAAGGCTTTGGGCTGTGCTCGACTGCCTTCCCAGGCCACAAGCAGGGAGTTGGATGGGAAGTGGAGCTGCCGAGATTAGAACCAGTGCGTATATAGGATCCTGGTATGTGCAAGGCGAGGACTTTAGCCCTGTGCTCTTGCGCTGGGTCCTCCATCTTGTTTTGAGTCTATTTTTTTTTTTTCTTTCATGTGAAGCTGTCTTCTATCAGTTTATTTTTTTATGGTGTTGAATTTTTTATTTAGTGGAAGGTCAAGCTTATAAGTTGAATGTCTGTGACTGTAAAAATGAAAAAAAAAATGAAGAAAGGTTGTTAATGAGGGAAGGAGGGTATAGCCATATAAAATGGGAAATATCTTTATGTTCTTTTTTAAAAGTAAATTCTTTATTTTTCATGGTACAGTTCATTAGTTTCAAGGACTTCCCTCAAGAGCAGTCACGAGTCCATCATCCTGCTATTTCAGTGTATCCTGACATTGTAGGTAGAGAGTGGTAGGAAGTCAGGAGCCTACTGTGAATACGTATTTAACAGTTTCCTTGGGAGTCCATCTTTGATTCCGAAGCAGAGATGCGTACAGCAACGTATGTCTACCTGACGACATACTTGCCTCCATTATGCAGATCTTCTAGAGAAATAGATGCATATTCAGCTCTGTATCTGTGTTTTGTATTTTGCATGAAGGGTGCTTTGTATCAGAGAGAACATGATAGATGCTTACCCTTTTTGGATTGGCTTATTTCACTGAGCATAGTAGTTTCCAGTTGGGGCCCTTTGATTGCAAATGGTAGAAGTTCATTCATTCTAATGGCTGAGATCGGTATTACATAGAGCGGATGTAGCACAGTGTCTGTA